TCTGGACCACAATAGATGTCTTGCAGTTTCCTCTGTTAAAAGAATAGATAAATATTACAAAAACGAAAGTTTAATAGCCTTAATTTTGCGAAAGATGGCTTTGAAGAAATGATAACAACAGAAATGGATGATGATATATTGCTCTTAAAGATAGCAAAAAACCGTTGACAATAGCCAGCTCCGTATCCAAAGATGTTTTATAAATTATTCGATGCAAAGATAAACAAAAAATAACCTATTTTAATTTTTGTTTTTTTCTTCGCAAACGATATTGTGTGAAAAGTGCCTGTAATTGTCGCTAACCACGTCGAATCATGTGCAACGAGTCTTCTATTCCTTCAGGCGACGTTCTTTTACCTAAAAAACACAAAACTAAGTACCAAGAAAGAACTGTAAAAACAAGAGAAAAACAAGAGAAAACGATGCAAAACAAAATGCGTTACATTGTTTATCTAAAATGGGCCATAAAACATGATTCTAATGCTGAAATAATTCGTCGGTTTGTTAAAACACGCGCAACGTACTTAAAAATGTTTTACAAATAACAAGAGTTACAAGTTGTTATGAGAAGTATAAAAAGGTGGGGTTGAAAAAGCTAACCGCAGTCTCTTTCAATTTGTATCGGCGCTATTTTGAACGGCGCTGTTTTCACTAGGTCCCAAAATTTCTGGTTTCTGATTAAAAAATAAGCTTAAATTGCTAAAAATATTTTAGATTACACAGAAGTAAACAATTTTGAAATACAAAAAACGTTTTGACGTTGAAACTCACAATGATATTGCTGTAGGAAACATATGCGGCAGCGACGGTGCTAATTTGAGTCTGAAAGTTGTTTTTTGTCTGAAAATTCATGTAAGAAAGAAAACATTGAAAAATTTTGGGAATTGGTGTAAATTGGAATGAAATGAAACATTTGAAAACAATTAAAATCTCCAAAGCTTTCTGATTATGAATAACTTGAAACATGAAATCTGAACGAATTCATATTCTCAAGCCAGTTTTGCGTTTTCAACTTTCAAAAAACAATTCAGACTTGGCAAATTTGCAAAAATTTGCCCATTAGCATGTTTTTTAAAATTTTGAATCAAAAAACACACTGCTTATTCTTGCCCTATTTTGAAACTCGTTTTCCATTTTGTGCTCTTAAGCTATTTTTACTTTTACATTGCTCATTTGATTAGTAAACTGAAAATTTCTAACAAGGAAACCTTCCCAAGTTACCCGCGAGTTCCAATATGAGGTAGGTGCCAAAAGAAAGGCTTGAAGATGCACTGTTTTCAAAAGCCGCTAATCGTCAAAACGCACAAAGTTATAGCCATTTGAATTTCTAAAAAAATGAAAGCTTTTTTCGACTGATTTTTGCCGGCGGAAAGCCTTTCCTTTCGCCATCTCAAAAGCCAGCTCGTAGCTAGCTCGTAACTTGGGAAGATCTTGTAAGAAATATCTAATTTTCTTTTTTTCATCAATCATTTTCTTCGCTTTTTTTATCTGATTTTCCTTTGCGAAACTCACAATGACGTATTGGCAAAAGATTTGGCAGAAAAACGTCGCGAACGCCATCACGAAAAGGCCGATTTCCTGGGTGTTGGAGAGTCTGGAATTTTTGATTCAAAACTTACAAAACCACAATTTGCATGAACAGATTTAACAAAAAAATAGCTGAAACACACTAAATATATCTGTTTTTAAGGAGCAGCCAAGTTTTCCGGAGTTGACAAAGCCTAGTTTCAAGTTATTTGACTAAAATCAAACATTGAGAAAAGTAATCATAAAGAGAATTTAAAAATCAACGTAACAATTTTATTCTTATTCAAATCTAATTTTTCTTAAAAGCCACAAACTTTTGCCCACGAAACCGTAAATAAAGCAATTTCGCAGCGGTTGCACCGTTGAAGAAAATCGCCAATCCGATGTACATTTTGCCCCCGTAATCCATATAGACATAAAGGCCTGCCAATTGCTGAAATGATTCGTTTCAAAAAAAAATCCCGCTTAAAATTCATCAGATAACTGATTTGAGCCTCAAAATTCATTTATCTTTCTACGATGCGTTAAAAATTGCGAAAGAAAAGCTCAAAGCTCGTCTCGACTCGGTAAAAACGCATTCTTGTGTAAGATTTTTAATTGTAGTTTTAAAGAAAATGACTGCAAGGATCGTTTTCAAAATTTACGGACTTATGCAATCAAATGAGCTCTATCTTTTTTACTTTGTCATCAAAAAAGGTTTCGAAATGCAAAACAATGAGCGTAGATTACAAACGTAGATTAGAAGCGAACCATGAAGTCGTTTACTTTGAAACTAAAACTTTTTCCGGAACTGTATTGTAGGTTTTTTTAAAGTATATCTGCTTTTGTCCATTTTTTTCTCATTTATTTTTCAATTCCCCTTTCTAAACCTTTCTAAACCATTTCAATTACCGTATACATTGACGCACTCCTCGCCACCACTCCATTCACTTCAATGTAATATCCATTCACCAATGGAACCGGCCAAACGGCGGCGAAACTGTAGATTGTGAGGAGGCAAATCAGAGGGAAAGCACCACGCTTCCAGAACTAAAAAAATGGGATTGACAATGGGAAATTTATTGAGTATTTGGAAAAAACTTGTAAAAATCTTACTCTTACCCTTTTTTATGTTTTACTTGTGTAAAAACTCAAAAACCAAATAAAAAGTCCGAAACCACAAACAAAAATCTCAAAAAAAAATTTCATGAAATTTTTATGAAAAAGCCTCCACTAATGATTTAAATAAAAATTTTAATATTTAATGTTTAGTTTAATTCTCGTATTCGACTAAAAATCTCTGCTTTTAAAGACAATCTGCGAGCGAAAACGCAAAAATTTTCCTTAAAAATGTTAGCAATGCGTTTCAAGGACTGAAAATTGACGTTTTCGATGAGGAAATTGGTTTGCTGTTCTTATTAATTTTGAATTTTTAAAAATAACCCTATTCTGCATTGAATAGAAATAAGGTGAAAATAATAATGGCTTTAGATATCATGTTTAAAGGAAAGCTTGTTTAGATTGAAACTTGGGATTCACAGAAAACTTTCCAATTCCAATGAAATCCAATGAAATCCAATGGTCTTGTTTTAGGGTTTTTACGCTATTTAATGACTAGATGCATATCTTTTCTATAAAATTTTCATGATTAAATGTTTGAGAGAGAAGAACTAGCGATAATAGAAACATTTGCAGCTTTGTCAGGTTGAAAAACTTGATTTAAAGTGTTAAACTGAGTAAAAGTAAAAGTGTTTGAGTAAAAGTGTTAGACTGCGAAGATTGTAGAAAAAATAAGTGATCTTTTCAAAAAAGGCATGCAAAATTGAATCGGATAAATCCAGATTGCACTTTTTTTGCTTTTTGCATACCCAAAACCGACCTCTTGATGGTAAATGGGGAAAATCGTGCAGGTGAAACGATTGAAATGGAGAAGAAGAGAGGCGGTGTTCTGAAAATGAAAGCCTTTTGTAAAAAAATGGAATACTATTCGCAGAGAACTTTATCATAAAAACGATAGGGTTTTACTGACTTTAGATCATTTTTATGACCGTCACTTCAAAAATTACAATGAAGTGCAGTAAAAAAACAGTTGCTTCAAGATAAGGCAACCCCTATGTTCAGTTCTTTGTTTTAATGTCCTCTAGTCAATGACAATTTTATGATTTTTAAAGTTTACCATACATATGACTGGTTAAAATGGACGTAAAATTCTAGAAAGCATTCGATTGGAGTCACCTGAAGACTTCAAGCTAATATAGTTCATTTGGTCCACTTGTAGCAGCCAATACCAGTACATTTTATACATATTATAGCTATTAACGTACCTACAAGAATTCAACAAAGCTAAACTAATTGCATTTTACAAAGCATTCGGTAATAGTTAGGTTGAACATTCCGAAAACAATAATCTTCGCCAATAATACGGTAAAGATTGCAATGAAGCGCAAAAAAGTCTAAGTTTTTAAAGTCTAAGATTTAACCACTGTTTACTGACTGATTAAAGTAATTATATAATTATTAATTGTATTTGATAGGAGTCAAGCTTGGAAAACAAATACCGTATTTTCTCTAATAGTAGTGCACCTCGGCGAGCCGAGTCGGTGACTATTTTACGGTTTCCAAGCTTTTGCAGAAGCCCAACACTCTAATTCCCCACTAGATCTCATCGTCAGCTACGTTTTCCGACCCCACATCGATAAGTTCTAATAAGCGGTTCTCGAGATTTCGAGCAATTTAGGCGACGCTCAGGGTGCACTACTATTAGAGAAAATACGGTATTGATGTTTCAAAGTTAGTCGACCACCTTTTAGCGCTTTAATCATCTTGAAGAAAATAGCTTTTTCATAAAATTTTAGACTTTAACAGTAGCATCAGGGGCTAAAATTGATTGTTCAGTAAAATTTTGCAAGTCATTTGGTAGGCGTTAAGTTAGAACTCGACTGTGGCGACAGCAAAAATTGTGAAGGTTTCAAACTCGGCTTTCAAACTTTCAAACTTTTCAGAATTCTTTTTCTTTTTACCCTTTTCATCTTTTTTACTAATCCTCCTACTTACTTCAGCTCAAAATCAGTTTTTAGCATCTATCTTCAATACTAGCAAGTAAAAAAGTTGTGGTTTCAAAATTATGTGGTCACTTTTTACAGCTTCTGCTCGAATCATCCTCCTTCACCACGATCCAAAAATTAGAGACAGCCCCTTTTTAAAAGTCACTATTCTACGAGAGTTAGTGCATTTTTGCGCTCAAAAGACTTACATATAATAAATTTAAGCATAAATCGACATAATAGATGTCAAGTTATGCTTAAATTTATCTGATTTTCTGATCAGAAACTTACAACTTTCAACTTACAACTTACAACTCCACATTCTCTGTTATCTATAAATCGACGTTTGTGCGGCTAATTTATATAGGGATAGTCACAGAATGCTGTCCTTAACTATGAAAAAGAGCATCTATTTTGATGAATTTTCACCTAAAGGGTAATTTGGGGGTGAAAAATCACTTAAAATTAGAATTTTAAAAAATCAAAGACGCCATCTTTGACTAAAAATTGATTATGATTATAAATTGATTGACTAAAAAAAAGGCTTATGGTTCAGAAATTATTATAAATTCATTTTTTAGTGTTGTATAAATTTGAGAGCTGAGAATAATTGCTCTTTTATAAAACTTTTGTTACCTGTAAATGATAGCATGCAAAGGAGAGCATGATGAAGAAACGATAGGGCGGGATTTTGTACTCAATGTTCACAAAGTATTCGGCGATTCCCGGGATTTCCCGCAACTTCAAATTGATATACGTGTTCAAATAGGTGACAATGTCCTGGAAAACAAATGTTTTTTGAAGCTAAACAAAAATTCGCGTGTTTCTCATGTTTACCGGGATCTCAAGTTCAGTTGCCTTGTTATTCAACCATAATTTGGCATTTTTTTTGCTAATTTTATCTTAATTTCTTTCAATCGATATTTTTAAAATTAAGTTTTAAACCAGTTAGATTACCAAATTGTAGCTTTATTTGATCAAATCTATTCGAAAAATCGGGTATACGGTCAACAGAATACCGCCAACAGATGCACTGTTCAAAGTGTGAAATTGAAATGAATGGATGAAATTGAAGCTAAAGTGATTCAGGTTTATTCTATGCTAATTGACTTTTGTAATCTTTGCTATCTAGGTTCTCTCAGATGTCATTTCTAGCACGTCAACAAGTAGAATGTCAACTGAAACGTTTTTTTTGGTGGATTTATTTTTTCTCAATAAATGCTATTCTTATTAGAAGTGAGGGATAAATTGATGATAAAAAATGACGATCGAAGAATTCATAATAGAAGGAGAGAATTTCGCTCAAGAAAAGACATTCATGTAATACAATTACTAGTCAAAATACATTGTTTTTGTTAAGGATTACTAGCGCTAGTAACGCCTTTACTAACCTTAGTAACATTATTACTAACCGGATTACTAGGCTAGTAAGCGCCTCCTCACCTCATATTCCCAGCCAGATAAAAAGATATTGCGTTTTTTCTAACCATCACCAATAATTGCTTATAAACTGTATTAATTTCTGATTTTGGATCAAAGCAACTACAGATATGAATACGCACGTTTCAAAGAAATGTTCAACCAACTACAAATAGAAAATGTCTTCTTTGATGCACATTACAAACGATAATAGTGCTCATTTCCATTTTAACAAATCTCAAATCAAATTTTCATTTGATCCCCACTCACCACAATGAGAAGATTGAGATAAACGAGATAAAAAGATCCCGAGAAAATCGTCCGTCTTTTCTTCCAAATGATGTGAATGACGAGAATATAGAGAAGAGCCGATGGAATACCGTAAAGACAATAGGAAATGAAAAGAATGACCGACATTTGAGAACTGCAATGGCAAATGTTCAGGTAGAGTCAAAAAACTCTGAATTAATCGAAAAGAAAGAAAAGGAAAAGCTTCAATTGCCAATTTGAAATTCTCATTCTCATTGTACTCTAGATTACATCGAAAATTAATCAATCAAAAGATATTTAAGTTGAAATTGCAAGAGACAATTGTTAAAGAAAACCTTCAAGCATGGCCATTTAGGTTTAAACATTGAAAAAATCAAGTATCCCGGAACATTTTCGAATACAGTATAACCGGTTACAGTACTCTACTCTGCTAGTATCCTTGGATGAGAAGAGAAAATTGACAATAACTTCTATTGTACAATGATTAAACGCATAGCATTAGATTAGTTTAACTCGCCAAACTTGAAAGTTAATTTTTTTAAAGTGTGAATTCTTGAATTCTTAGTCGAACTTCTTCAAAATTTCTGTTTTACTCTTTTTTCCCCTTTGAATCCACCTGGGATTTCCATTTTTGCTAAGAAATTAAAACAACTTTGCCATTATCAAAAGGATGGTTTCAATTTTCTGTTCTTTTGATTAGAGACTAGAAAAACTCGAATTTACCGCAGAGAAATATGTATCAGGTGAACTTTGTCCTTTCACTTAAATTTTGATATTTAAGAAAAAAGACCAGGAATCATTGGGAATTTACAAAAAATGAGTTAGCCTACCTACGTGGTAAACTTTAAAATTTAGCGAATACGACAATTTTGAGGTAGAGAAATATGAAAATAGTGCTCCCCCCCAAGCTTGAAAAATGCCTTTTTCAAATGACTTTATTGAAGCTTTTGGTTTTAAATCAGTGCTTAATTTTGCTACTCTAGAGACTAGTTTGGTACTTTAGAGGATTGATTCTTTTGATGTAATCTTTAGTTTTGTTTTTTTTGGTTAAAAGTTTGTGTGAAATTGAGAAGAAGACATTGCAATCGAGACAACGTTCAACTTCACATCAAATTGTTCTTTAAATGAAAAAGCAAACTTTAGTTTTTGCTAATCTAAATTGCATTCGCGTAGTTCTCGAGTGAAAAGACGAGATTTTCAATTGGCTTACCTGATTGCTCATTGAATAATCGAGTTCTTGACTTTTTCAATTAGCGTTCTTAACTCACAAGGGAATTTCAACTGGATTTCGCGACCAAATCACATGTTATTCGTGTCATTTGACGCAGCATTTCATGCTCATTCCGGATGTGCTTTCTATTTTTGTGATGGAGTACTCTGTCAAATGTTATAAGCCTGCAAAGTTCTGTATGGGATTTCAAAAATCAGGGCTTAAAAGCATATTTCTTTCTTTATGATAATTTCACTTACACTGATTTTGTTTTTGAAAAAAGCGAACAATTAGACGGTCCCGTAATTGAAATTGCAAAAAAAGCGAGGCTTCTCGGAAAATTTCAGTGTGACGAAGAAATTAACGGAGAAATTTTGATTGGTCTTTCAAAAACCATCGTTTTAAATTGAATGATTTACTAAACTGTACTAAAGTTTAACACCTTGCAAAAGTTGAAACCTTTTGGCAACTAAAACGGGTTTTTCTTTTCAATAAGCCGAAGCATTTTCTAGGTTTTAACTTTAACGACTAGTTATGAAGCGATTGAAAATTGAATCATTTCAAACATTTTTCGACTTGCAACAACTCGCGATAGCGATATTTTTCGGCTTACAGTTGCCCTTGTCGCTCACTGTTTTACTGATAACTCGTTTTTTACTTGAGTAGCTAAGAAAGAAAATCGTTTTAAAGCCAAGAAATTTGCTGAATTATCTTCAAGTTTCAAAAATACACAACCCTATTTCATTACTCTCAAAATGATCTAATCGTCAAAAAAATGGTTTCTATTTGAATTCCCAAAAGATTTTTGAAATGGTCTAAGCGTAGACTACATGAAAATTGAAATTTTCTGTTTTGCAATTTGCCAAATTAAATGCAATCTCGAAATTTGGCTATCACAAATTGCAAAAGCTGAAAAAACAAAGAAATGTTAAGCAAAGAAATAAATCGAGAGGAATTTGATTTTAAGGAATGATCTGTGTCATTTGTGCGTTTTCCCGTTCATTTACCATGCTGGCTTCACCTTTGGCGCTTCTGTCGACAAGCCAAACAAGTCGAAACGTCGTTGTCTATATTCATACTTTATTCAGGACATGAAATAAAGCGTAATCAGTCAGACAATACACAAATCTACACATAAATACATAGAGAAAGATGAGATATTTTACTCGGCGATGTGGAGGCGGGGAGAAAAGAAGATAGATAGAAGATAGGCTTCTTGCTTTAATAACCTCAGGCCATGAATGGGCCAACCCAGTGGAAGAGTGAACTCCGCTAGAGAAGGGATCTCTAGTCAGCTCTAGAGAAGAGACCTCTAGTCTGGGCGCTATATAAAAAATTGTATTTTTAAATATAATACTTTAAAGCCATAGATATAGTTTATATTATAATTAGTACTAAACTCTGTCAAAAAGTTATTAAAGTTGGTCATGGTTGAACTGTGTGAAATCTTTCAATAAATCCTTCGAAAGCACTTTTTTGATTCTAGTATTAGTTTAGAGAATCCTTTAGACAATCCTTCAGACAATGGACAATTACTTTAGACATCTAGACATTTAGACATTTAAACATTTAGACAATAGACGATTAGTAGTAAGAGTTTCTTTATAGTAAAGTCCAGCTAACAAAACACAAACATCATTTCTCGATACTCGAGCATTCTTCGAATCTCGTCCGGAATTACATTTTTGTCGAAATTCGGAGAGAGAATGAAGGTTCTGGAATCGGTCTCATTTTAAACATTAAACATTTATATAAAAGTTTATAAATAATTCTAGGTACAAAGCTTAAACAATCTACGTTTGATTCAAACTTCTCAACTCACTCAACCAAGACGAAACTCGTAATGAAGAAGACGAAGATCAGTTTCATCGTTGAACATACAGTTAACAGTTGAATACTTTCTAAAGTTGAGTTCACAATCCAAAGGCGTTAACAATCTTCTATACAACGTCGCGTGTTCCAAATGTTTTTCCAAATTTATCCGCAAAAAACTTGTTTACTAGGAGACATCTGCTATTTTAACCCCACAAAGGGTCAAGGGTTGATCAATTTGAGAGAAAATGGCAGATAGAGCCAAGTCCTTTTTAGGAGCACAGAAATCAAGTCGATCATTTGTTTTGGTGTTTTCGGAAAGTTTTTTTGGTAATTGAAAAAAGAAGTGAGGAATTGAGAATACTTTTGAGTGCAAATGCTCCAAAAATCACCTCTCATTTACCCTCAGTGAAACTGTTACTGATTGTGAGTTGTTTTACTTTGTTATACTGTTAGGAAACGTGTTTAGAAGTACAGTAATAACAAACTATACAAACAAAAATTACAAGGTCCAAAATAGATTTTTTTTTATTTTAAAAGATGTCTTACGTGTCAAGTGTTATATAGAGAATTGTAGCCCTAATTCTCGACATTTTCTACACTTTCTCTTAAAAAACTATCGTAATCAAACCGATTACGGTACTTTTCGAAAATAGGTGCTTTTGAGGCGCCTACACTAAAAAGCTCTCTAATCTCAATTTTTGATTAACTAGTCAGATCCTGCTTCTTAGGAATTCTTCCACAATTTAGCAAAAAGATTAAAAGCAAAAGACCCTTATTGGTCCCATGAAATATTGAACAACTACAAGATCAGATTACTCATTCACTCTTTTCTTAACGTCATCCGGGTGCTAAGGGTCAAATCTGTTGTTTTTATTCGAATCCAATATTAGACTTCATACCTCTTAAATAGCTATTCATTGTTTGTAAGCAAAAATTAAAAAAATGAAAAAGCATTCTTCAGCTTGATAACGCTTGGTAAAAGTTTTTTTGTTTGGCTTGTTGAGAAAGAAAAGAGACATTCACCGAAATTAAAAAGAGAGCAGGCATAGATATTCGTAAATTTAGGGCAATACCCAAAAACAACCTGAGCGATACTCCTTTGATCTAGTAAAGTCTAAACACATTAATGTCTAGGCGGCACAATATTTTCCGAAGAACTCCACGGCTTAGGCTTAGGCTTAGGCTTAGGCTTAGGCTTAGGCTTAGGCTTAGGCTTAGGCTTAGGCTTAGGCTTAGGCTTAGGCTTAGGGCTTAGGCTTAGGCTTAGGCTTAGGCTTAGGCTTAGGCTTAGGCTTAGGCTTAGGGCTTAGGCTTAGGCTTAGGCTTAGGCTTAGGCTTAGGCTTAGGCTTAGGCTTAGGCTTAGGCTTAGGAAAGCCCTCGGGTATCAATTTCCAGCCCAAAAACCCATTCCCTGATTTTTTTCTGACAGACAAACATTTCACAATTATATAATTCATAGCAAAGACAACTTTTTACATTGACAAAGACAACTAAAAAAAGCAAAACAATTTTAATATCCATTTAAATATCAATAAAATTTTGAAAATTCCGAATACAAATAGGGTACTAAATTTTCTAGTTTTCATAATTTTTTGCAGAAGCAACATATGCCATTAAACCTACTAGATAGTTTAAAAGTTCTTCTATTTTCTATGATATTCTTCGCTGAGCTGAAACAAAATTGAGTTTTTAAGCAACTTTTTGGTTTTGGGCAGTTTTTGGGCAACTTTAGGGAGGTAATAGAACTTTTGAATATGAGCTTTGATGTCCACTAATGTTTTCAGGCGTATTTCTATCACTTAAAATGATTCCAAACAGCGAGAAAAACCTTGAAAACCCAGAATAGAAGTTGATAAATCTGAAAAAATGGTAATTTTTGTCTAGGGGTGGCTGTCTATTGAAATAATTAATTGGTTTCTAAGAAATTGCGGCAAAATTGGGTCGAGATTCTCGCCAACTCAATATATAAATTCCCTCAAATGTGTAGTCAAATGTGTAGGTAATGAAATCATCATTGGATGCTTTTCAGCCAATGTTCATCAGCGTTTTGATGACCGGAGTCCTTGGATGGGTTTCCTCGTTCGCCACCTCACTTACCTGGTTCACTTTCTGGAGAACGTTGCTTTCTTTTTTCAATACCGGACATATTGTGTAAGTTTGTTGAATGAAATGACTATTTGAGGACTTAAAATAGAGGAGATTTCTTTATTTTAATGAAAATGATGGAAATCTGAGTAAAATTTGAGTAAATTTGCATGTTTCCACTTGCGATTTTGTTTGAATTGTGAAGAAAGCCTTTTCAACTTTCGCGTTTCAACTTAAATGGCACTCTGCTGCAAGTTAAGAATCATTGATGAAAATTTGAACACGTAATAGGAATTTTTCTAAATTCTTTCATTAAAAATCAATTTCAGAATCGTTATGGTGTACATGTGTGAAAAATTCCCGCGCCAACATCGAATGTGGCTCAATTTCGTCTTCTCATGGTCGCCGAATTTGATGTTCGCGTCGATTATCGCCTATTATTCAGGTAAATTGAAAAGTTTTATAAGAATATTTAACTTGAGCTTCGGCAGGTTATAAAATGGTTAAAATGATAAAACACAGCTTTAAAATGTTTTTTTTTTTGAAGTTTAAAAGAACAATAAGCCAATTTAGAAAACCGAGTTTCAAAATGCTTAAGAGAAAGGAAAGCCCGTTTGCTTAGTGATGCTGTGTCTTTAGAAGGAAAAAACTTGGCTTGATTTTGATTTTTTTCACAAATTACTTACAAGAAACACAAGTTATTCTTGTCTTAATATCAATATTTCAATTGTTTTAACCAAATCGAAATCTTTAGTCGACTGGCGCACGTTCTCCCGATCGCTCAACTCGCTCGCTTTCATTGCCGCCATTCTGCTTTAGTAAGTTCAAAAAAATGTCAAGTACTGAATTGATTTTACTACATTAAAGTATAAAATATCTAGTAGAATGCGAAAAAATAATAAGAGCATACAAAGAAGAAATAGTTATAAGTTTCAACGAATTCAACTAGTAATGAAAATTCTTCTTTTTCCAGGCTTTTTGCCTATTTGTAGCCGTAAATGTAGCCGAAAATATCAAGATTTCGAAGTAAAACCAAGAAATTAATCGTATTTTCTTAAATTCTTCAACTCAGCTCATCTGAATACGATATTTACAACGAATTCCAGTTTCTGCGAGGAATCGATCTACTGGTTGGTGAGAAAAGGACGCATTGATGAAGCGGAAAAAGCGATGAAGAGAATTTATCGGATAAACGGAGAGGATCTGGATCTGAAATCACTGAAATTCGTCCTGCAACAAGAGAAACAACAATTCGAGGTTTGCGTTTGCGCGCAAAATTCGACAAAACCTTAGATAGTATACGATAAAATTAGGTTAAAACCAAGTTCTCTGCTAGTGCAAGACGTGTAAATGAAGTGTAACAAAAGTTTCCCGAAAAAATCCTTTTCTTTCCAAACGTTTGCATTCAGTAAACGTTTTTTTTTAAACGGTTCATATCACATTGTCTACTTAAAACATGGGCTACCGTAAATACTGTAATAGTACCCCACCCCCCTCGTACAGTCGCGTAGTCGCAAAAGTTTTTTCGTATTTCATTTTTTTCAAAGCGCCCGTACTTTCAAAAAATGCGTCTTTGGTATCAAAAAATAGCCCTGAATTTCAGCTATTTTTTGATACCTAAGCGCGCATTGTAGCATAAACCAGTGTCGAGAAAAACGCGTCCAAAGCTAGACTACGCAACACTCCGTGCCGTCATTATGGGGGTGGGGTACTATTACAGTATTTACGGTAGGTATTCAAATTGAAAAACGCTTTTTTTGCGGCATATTTGATTTCATTTTAAAACCCAAAACCTTTATAGTTTTTATAAAACATTTTTAAGCATTAGAAAAAAAAAGTTATGTTTCAACTTTACTAATATTTTGCCATAGCATGAACTATATGTTTCTGTCACTTAAAACTTGTCATAACTCTAAAAATATTACATAAGCAGGTAAAATAATTGAATATTAAAAGCAAAATTTACTAATTGATTAATTTTCTATTAGAAAAGTGCAGAAAGCTTACACAAAGAAGTACACTACTGGACAATGAAATATGATATTTGAAAAAAGATCGTCGCTTTCGCGCGTCTGTAACTCCATTGTCTTTACCGTATTTCTAAATATTAATATTACCATTGTTTAGCCCTTGAAAAGAGCTTTCAGAAAATGTATAACACTAATAGTTTAAACTCAAAGACAAGGGAGTTACAGACGCGCGAAAGTGACGATCGTTTTTTCAAATATGATATTTCATTGTCCAGTACTGTACTTATTAGTCCACATTTACCATCTAGCAATTTTGCTAAACGGATTTAGCAGTTTAGCATTTATCAACTTTGCTAAATGCTAAGTGCTAATACCAAAACAACAAACCAAAACAACAACAAACAACAACAACAAACAACAACAAACAACAACAACAACAACAACAACAACAACAACAACAACAACAACAACAACAACAACAACAGCAAAACAACAACAGCAAAAAAACAACAGTAATCAAATTGTTCAATCTATTATTCAAAGTTTCAAGATTAACAGCTTCTAAAAGCTCTTGAAATCATTAATTCACTATTCTTACAATTATTGAAAATAAAAATTATCTTGTTCATTCAGTTTTCATAAACATTTGTTAAACAAACCAATTTTCAGGCAAAAAAATCGACGGGCAGCTATTTCTTCCATCATCTTTTCTGCACTTGGCGTCTCATGGGCTACTCGTTCACGATGATTCTCAGCTAGTTTGTTTTCAAATATCTCAAAATTTACGAGCTAATGATAAGGCCAAATTTTACCATTCTTTTATACAAGGTAAGATTTACTATTTAATTCTCAACGTTTACTAGTTAATTTACTTTCATAGTACTGATTTTTAAATATCTAAAAAGGATGTTTCAAAGAAATGAACTCACATTCAATTCAAATCGACATCTCAAATTCGAATCATATCATTCTTTTATACGAATTAACAAAGCTTTTTACAAGATTTACAAAATTTTTCTTTAAGAATTCGCTAAAATACTTTCTCATTTTCAGTTTTGCCGTCTCGATCATCAACTATGGTATTATGTTTAATATGGAACATTTGGAGGGATCGATTTTCTTCAATACGATCTTTATCGGTAAATATTTTTATTAGATAAAGCAGTTTTTAGCTAAAAATTCAACTTTACACTTTTTATCGAATTTCAGGCTGTTTCCGATATGTTCTCAATGTGATCTCAGCTGCAGTCGATTACAATTATCCAAGAGTTGGAAGAAAAGTGAGTGGTGCTATGCGCTTTCTATCAGCTTTCATTCTCAAAACGTGAATACAATTTAATTCCAATTACTTTAATATCATTTTGATACTAAAAGCTTGCTAGTCTGCCTCGAAATTGCCGTATTTTCTCTAATAGTAGTGCAGTTGCCTAAATTTCTCGAAATCTCGAGAACCGCTTATCGGAACCTATCGATGTGGTGTCGGAAAATGTAGCTGACGATGAGATCTAGTGGGGGATTAGAGGATTGAGCTTCTGGGAAAACTTGGGAACCGTAGAATAGTCATCAACTCGGCTTGCTGGACTGCACTACTATTAGATATACGGTACAAGCTTCTATACAAGTACAAGCTTCTATACAAGTTTCTATCAAAGCTCATCAAGAGCTCATCAGCTCCCATAACCGAAGATCTATCTCTGATGTCTCAATTGCTTCTCTTTTCCCTTGTCAAACTGCACTTTGATTTGCGGGATTAATTATCTAGATCTTTAAACAATGAAAAGAGAAAAAGCGAATGTAATCATTCTCAAGTTGTACTTCTCTAATAGTAGTGCAGTTGCCTAAATTGCTCGAAATCTCGAGAACCGCTTATCAGAACCTATCGATGTGGGATTGGAAAATCTAGCTGACGATGAGATCTTGTGGGGGATTTGAGTGTTGAGCTTCTGCAAAAGCTTGGAAACCGTAAAATAGTCACCAACTCGGCTCACCGCGGTGCACTACTATTAGAGAAAATAAGGTATTTGTTTTCCAAGCTTGACTCTAAAAGGAACTGGGATTATTTTTGCACCAACTGTTCTCATCTTAAATAACTTGAAACTTGCTTCTCAAAATTTCTAGAATTTTTTTTAAAAAACATCTTTACAAAGGGTTATTTTTACTTCCAATTACAAAAAAAACAAATTTCAATTTCAATTTCGTTTCTCAATATAGCAAAATAGGCAACACTTGACGTGAAAGATGAATTGTCGCTCAAAAAGCAAACGCCATACTGAATAAAATGAAAAATACGACTAAAATATGACTAAATTAAGCTAAATTTGGTTTTTGGTGAGAAGCAAATTCATATCCATAATTTACAATTTCACCCGACTCAAATAATTGCAAATTTTTAGACAGCTCACATGTTTTTCTCGGCGTACACCGTGGTGGCGATTGCGATCGCGTTGGTAATCGAGATGTTCGGTGAGCCGAGTTTTTTTTGTGTATTTTTTTGATTCAAAGGTTTTACACAAAGAAAAACTTTTTGACAAATAGATTAAACGTTTTTTTATTAGCCCCGTCAAGGAGGGTCAAAAACATCATTTTTGCTCCTTGTCGGCCCCATTTCTCGTTGTAGAGTTACTTTTGGGAGCTAATTTTTTTGGTCATCAATATTCATCATGAGCTCTATCGAATGAGGCATCACTCATCCCAAACGGTCACCTTAGGACCATAACCTTGCCAGCTTTTAGTATTTTTCCAAAATTTCGCAGATTACAAAAGTTCTAAAGCTTTTAAACTTTTTAAAAACTGATCTTTGAAAGTTATGTTTCATTGTTTAAATGTTTAAATGTTTCATTGTTTAAATGTTTCATTGTTTAAATGTTTAAATGTTTAAATGTTTAAATGTTTAAATGTTTAAAATGTTTCTTAAGTGTTTCATTATATAACGTTTCATTAATTTCTTTAAATGTTTCATTATGTAATCAGCATTTTCGTTTTCAAGAGTATTTTCAAGCAAGCAAACAAGCAAAATTCTTGATGAATCAGAAAAATTGTGAAACATTAAGATTGTTAAATGTTTTTAATTGATTTAATTGGTTTATTTGATTTAATGTTTTCAATTTCATCAATTCAATTATTATTTTTAGACATCGATTCCCTCAGCTCGATCGTTCGCTATTTGGTGATGTCCGCCGGGTCGATGGTTGCACAGATTTATGTCGTCAATGGGGTCACTTGTTCGGAGGTGAGTTTTTTTTGAAAATAATAAAGATATATAGAATGCAAATAATATCAAAGGAACTGTAATCAATTAAAGCTTAGCTGAAGGTAGATAAAGGCATTCAAACAGCAACTTCTTTCAGAATTTAGCTAATATGACAAGAGTTGAGAGATTTTTAACTTATCATACACTTTTCAAAGCCTTTTCCCCAGCCCTATTGTGCCTTTGACTTGTAACGAATCCTTTAATACTGTTAAAATCTTGAAAATATGTGTGTTTCAAAATTCAAACTGACACAGTAAAATCAGTTTTTCCCTAAGAATTCAAAAATTTAAGTTTCAATTTTCAAAACGGCTCAACTAATGGACGATTTTTAATCGTTTTTGTATTTTTATTCAAATTAACCTAAAAGATTTCAATTGCTTTTTTGCAGTCAATTTTTTTTAGAGAAATCTCCTCGTAAATTTACTATTGAGCAAAGCATTTTGAAAGAAAATAAAGTAAATTTCAAATTACATAGTCAATCACTCAAAGAAATGATTCTCTCTAATAAAATACTCCACGAATCTCAAAAGTTTAATAATTTTAATCTTTAGAACGTTCTAATTATTAACTATTGAGCTTATAATATTTTCAAAACGTTTGTCTCAACATTATAAGGTTAAATCGTAGTGGTGGAAATCAAAGTTTTAAATTATTCAGCTATCCGAATTGAAGTTGTTGTTGTTGTTGAAGTTGTTTTTTTAATAAAAGCCTCTTCCAAGAATAATTGTTTTGAAACAACTAAAGCTGTTAAGTCGAAATTTCTAAAAGCTTTCAATAAACTTTTATTTTCTAGATCTATCCAACCGCCGTCCGTAACATTGCCTATGCAACGACGCAAATCAGCGGAAGTATTGGATCAATTTTGGGACCGCAGCTTTTCCATTTGGTATATTCATTGATTCTTTAGTGTTTACTGCTAAATTTAAAAATCAAAATTTATTAAAGATCTTGATTTTAAAACTTTTGACTTAAATTTCTTTGTCAAATCTATGAAATAATTGTTATGTCAACTTCGAAATTGCGATTACGTATGCTAAATTTAGGCCGCATAACTTGAAAAGGATTATCAAAATTGACCTTTTTGCTACTCTTAAATGTTTCTGCTCATTTTTATTGAAATCCTAAGTATTTTTATAGCACAAATATCTGAATTTGCTCGAAATTCGAAACCAAAACATTTTCCAGTCCTCAATCTTCGAGCTTCTTCCCTATTTGGTGATGTTGGCGCTGCAATTCGGCGAGACTTTTTGGTAAGGATTTGCAATTAATGACTTACTAGGAAGCCAAGTGACCTTTTAAAACGAGACCAACTCCATCTTATAGAATCGACTACCCTGATTCCGAATCCGTTTTTAGTTTTTCCCTCCAGGCCTGTGACGCGAGATATTTTAGTTACAAGTTTTAAGCCTCATTACGAGTTCATTTTTCGATTTCGGAGAGTTCATTCAACGGAGCCAATGGCCTTATAATGTCTTGGAAATCAAAGAAAATCAGGACAAATATTTTAGAGAAATCTGATAGAAAATTCGCCAAAGCATCACCAAAACTGCCGACTACTACGGGTCCAAATCACCCTGGTTCGATCCCCTCCTCGGCCAATTTCTTTTGGTTTTTAATCTAGCTCAAATTACATTGAAATCGAAATAAAAATGAAAGTAATGTTTTTATCGAGTCTTTAATTGGGAGCCTGTTATAACATGTGAACCTGCAAAACGTGCCAAACTGACTTGCCAGATTGCCAAACTTGCAAAAACAAAAGAAACTGCCCGAGGAGAGGATCGAACCAGAGTGCTTTGGATCTTTAGTCGACAGCTTTGGCGCTGGACGTTGACTGATGGACGAAAAATAAACTTAAGTGGGCAACTTGTAACTCAAATAACTCGCGTTACAGGCCTCGAGAGCAAAAACTGAAAACGGATTCAGAATCAGCGTAGTCGATTCAAGTTCTTCGGATTTGGAGAGTTTTAAAAGTCGATTTAAATGAAGATCATAGATCCAAGAAAAAGATCAGTAGCAAGATTTTAATGAAACTAAATTTCATTTCTTAAAGTGAACGGCTTTCAGTGCCGATAAAAGTTATTAATCACCGATTGAGAACGATTAACTATGAGAAATAAAATTCCTATTGAAAATAGCTAAATGATAACTATTTTTTTTTCAATAACATTACTAATTAGCACAATTCTCAAGGTATTCTTTATTTTCTTTTGCTATAATTCACCGATTTCAGTGTCACCGTTCTGGTGCCCGAATCAAAGGGACGACCGATGGCCGATTCGATGCCCGAAGTGAATGAAAGATTCAGGTAAAAAAAAGTGAAAGAAGCAATTTAAATGTCTTTTTTATTCTATAAATGACACATTTGATATTGGTGAAATATAATGGTATAATAACTACCGTAAACACTGTAATAGTACCCCACCCCCATAATGACGGTACGGAGTGTTGCGTAGTCTAGCTTTGAGCGAGTTTTTCTCGACACTGGTTTATGCTACAATGCGCGCTTAGGTATCAAAAAATAGCTGAAATTCAGGGCTATTTTTTGATACCAAAGACGCATTTTTTGAAAGTACGGGCGCTTTGAAAAAAATGAAATACGAAAAAACTTTTGCGACTACGCGATTGTACGAGGGGGGTGGGGTACTATTACAGTATTTACGGTAACAACAAATAGGATTTTACTTTCACTCAGCTTTGTCAGCACATTGGTGACTCGCGGCAGGTTGATCAAATTGAAATCCCAGATTTTTTCCCCTTAATTTTTGGTTGTGAAATTTTTTATGCACAACTCAATCTATTAACACGTTCGGGACGATTCGATCCTTTTATACCATAGGTAAAAGGTTTCATTTAAATCTCTTTATGAAGTATCGGTGTTAGTTGAAAATGTTTTGTTGGCTTTAAAAAAAAACTTTATAATCAAAATGAAATTCCCCAGATTGTGCCGACCAAAAGTGGTGATTGACGACGAGGAAATCAAGAAAGTCTCCCGGCTGACCCCTGCTCTCCCGCAAAATGAAAATATTGCCTAAATTTTTGCTCAAAAATTTCAAAATTTTAAAGCCCAAGTTTCAAAAATTTCGAAATTCAAACGTTTTAGACGCGAAATTTTGTTTTTGCTGGCTTTTTTAAGAGTTTTGTATATAGAGTTTTTCGAAACTTTCGAAAATTTCCCGAGCTTTCTGAATCATTTTGAAATTTTGCGATAACGAAACTGTGTTTTTCATTGTTTTTCATTGTTTTTCATTGTTTTTTGAATAAATTTGGGATCATTTTAAAAAGTTTTAAAACGTAAAACGAGGCAAATATTTATTCAAAACACGCAAATTTATGAAAAAACAAAACAGAGCACTTTTAAAGAGAAAAATGAGAAAAACAAAGGCACAATGTTGGCAAAATTTCGAAAAATGAATAGAAAAATGCAAAGATTTTGAGATTTCGAGCCAAGAATTGCATGAGGGATCCGAATGAGATTGTCAAAAGTTGAAGGAATTGAAATTTTCAAGATTTTCAAGATTTTAGGCCAAAAGTAGAGCATAGCCGGCTTGTGTGCAGCTCTGGCAACAGTTCAGGAAATAACTGAAAATTGGTTTAGGATTTTAATTTGATTTTCACATTTTTGGATTTTCACGGTTGTTTTTAACCTTAAAACTTTCCTTTTCGTTTTTTTTTTGAAGTTTCAAATTTGATCTTTTAACTGCAAGTTGTAGTCAGTTTTAGTTGTGGTAATAAAGCCAATGAATAGGTTTTTATCTCTTTTAAGTTTTATCTCTCCTTTATCTCTTTTAAAAATAGTGATTAAACTTTAAAAAGCTTAAAGCTTACGATATTTTATAGTACGTTTTGGGTTAGGAAATAATGAAATACCTGTAAAATTCTGTAAAGTCACAGTGCCGTTTCTCATTATTGTCAGTTTAAGGCTTTAGCTGATCTTTTCTTTACGATAGATTTTTCTATATCAAATTTTCTTTTAATTGGCTTATCTACGGGAAAACTTGATGAACCTATTGGCTTTTAAAAATGTAATTATTTTCTAGCTTTCTGTTTGATTTTAAAGCAATTAACGATTTAAAATCATCATCATCAAAATCAAACAATCCCATTAGTAAGCGATGAACTTCAATACCATTTTTAACAATTGTAGCTTGACAAATGTTTAATGCCTTTATCTTAATGACAAATGCCTTTATCTTAAAAAATTTGAAACATTTTAGCCTATTAATAGAGGGGATTTGTAAAACTATTTAGCAAAAAGCCTACAGCAACTCTTCAAAAGCAATTTCAGAATTATTGGGTTGGTGTATTGAAAACTGCCGGCTACTGTCATATGTGACAGTTTGAGCACTTTCTTCAAAAAGAAACCCATTTTGGTATCAATGGAAAAGTTGTAGAGAATCAAAAATCAAGCTTATATCCAAATTTTCAGAACGATTCAAAAACTGGTTTTCAAGAAAGGCCAAATTTACGAATTTTCACAAAACTTGCATTTTAAGCGAAACTACTAAGTATATCTTTTTGAAAATTTGGCTATAAGCCTAATTTTTGATTCTCTACAACTTTTCTATTGACACCAAAATGGGTTTCTTTTGAAGAAAGTGCTCAAACTGGGACATCTCCAGGACATCTCCAGTCCTCCATTTTTGAGTCTCACACTCGTCTCACACACAAAGCAAAATCCTACTCAGAAAGAGGAATCCGCAAATTGCCTGTAAAATGGGCAGAAGTCGTCAAGAATAATGGAAATTATTTCGAATGAATTGATGGTTTTATGTTGAATAAATTTTAGTTCAAAGTCCGGCAGTTTCCAATTCACCAACCCAATAGTAACAAAGACACTGAATGAGTTTTTTCTTTTACCTTTATCTCTTTTAAAAATAGTGCTTTAACTTTGAAAAGCTGAAAGCTTACGATATTTTATAGTACGTTTTGGGTTAGAAAATCATGAAATACCTGTAAAATACTGTAAAGTCACAGTGCCGTTTCTCATTATTGTCAGTTTAAGGCTTTAGCTGATCTTTGCTTTACTATAGATTTTTCTATATCAACTTTTCTTTTAATTGGCTTATCTACGGGAAAACTTGATGAACTAGTTAACTAGTTCATAAAACTTGGTTTTTAAATGTTTATCTTGATTAACGTTCACAGAATATTTAAATTATTCAATTTGGAACGTGAGAGTCGAATAAGTTAACACAATTTTTAGCTAAACGAACAAACTTGAAAAGAACTTCTTTGAAAGACGCTACTAGCTAAAGTTAAAAGGATAAAATCTAATCTGGATATCATATTCATGCAAAGATGTAGGCTAAAAACGCCAACTATGAACGCATCTTAACCTTTTGCATCATAACTCTGCATCGATATTATATTTTGAGTTAATTTTGGTATCATTCGATGCGCAATTTCATTCTACGTTGAATGATAGTTAAAATGGTCAAAATCGAAGGGTTTGTGCTGAGAAAAACACGAAAAATCTCAAATTGTTAACGGCAAAAAGGCAAAAAAGGAAAGACAAATGTTTTCGTTACAATTTTAATGTTTACTAGTGTCTATTTATATAAAGTCTTTAAAAAAATCCAACTTTTAATAAAAATTAAGAATCTAATCTATGCTGATTGCACAAGTTCTCTTATAGTTAGCTTTTACCTACGGTCGCTTCCGTTTCCTTCCTATTTGCGTTGCTATTTTGCAATTATTCGCGTCGCATTTTTCGTCCTTTTTCTCCCTTCCCGAAATTATTTTTTTTGGTCTGCGGGTTTTTTTTTTTGCGTTCTTTCTTTGTTCTTTCTTGGGGGACTTTGTTGTTTCATTTTTGATGCACATGCTGTTTGTGTAATGGGTATTGTTGCATTTCGGTTCTGTACTAATAAACAGTAATGTTATAAATTCACTTTACTTTATGCTACCCTTCAGGTTTTATATCCTGTTTAGATAACTGGTTTAACATTGTAGAGAGACTGGTTTTACTAACATTTGTGTCACCATCGACGTAGTATCAATCCGATCCGTACTCTTCTCAAGAGTATTAATCTATTGTTGGATACGACGTGTTCTTGTTACGTTATAAGCGCTTTTGGGGAAACCCTTTTAACCTTTTGTGCTATTCGGCCATTCTTAAGCAGAATCATCCTCGTTGATAAGGTTAAAGCGGGTCGCACCCCAAACTCTACATGAAACAAATCGTATTTCGACTTTGGCGTCTTTTAAGTAAAGGTGGCCTTTTCAATATGTCATTTTAAGTCAATTTTCAGTTAATTTTATGTCATTTATAGTCATTTTCAATAGTTAATTTTTTTTAAAGTATCAAAATCTGCTTAAACTCACCGTTTCTTGTCGCAAAGTTTCATCCGAACGGTTAACGCGCACGTCTTTCCATTTCCTTTGTCGAAACAGATCCGATCGGATGGAGTTGGATCTAGAATTGAAATTTGGATAAGTATTTATTACTATTGTGCTTGAAATTTGGCAAATTTAAGTGCATGGATTGTTTCGATAATTGATTTAAAAGCAAAAAGTGCCCCCTTACAACTGAGACTTAGTAGAAACAGCTCTCTTTCCCGATGCACTTTGACTCGAACTCAGTCAACTTTGAAACTCAGTTTTTGATGCCCGAAATTTGCGCCTACGTCGACTAATCCTAGCAAATTGATTGATTTCTGATAGAATCATAGATAAAAATTGCTATATTTTTGGTAAGTTTTGGTATTAGTCTTGATCTAGATCTCTTTCAAACCAACCATTCACTCGAAGCATCGCTCGATCCGAGAGAATCCCATCGGGCCCAACCGCACAAGTGTACTCGCCAGTGTCCGACATTTCCGAAGACGAGATTCTAACCATCGAAAGATCTGAGTTGCCCTGAAAATGGTGAAATTTTTCCTAAAACTTCAGGTGATACTTTTGACATGGAGAGCCTTACGTTGAGTAAAATAGCGGACGAACACAAAAAATCGGTTCGTAATAATATGCATTCTGTGCTAGAGGTTTTTATTTGCTGAATATTTTGTTTTTATGTTTTTGTTTTTGAGTGGCACTCCAGAAATGATAATGTGGAGTGATAATTCTATCTAATTTTAACTTATGTCTAAAAACTAATCGAGAAAGTCACTAGTGTATTCGATAATCATAAAACAACTTCTTGCGCATGAACGTAAACCGCCGGGTACAAGTTCACAGCTGAATAACTGTCATCTACAAACCAAAGGAGAAATCTCTATGCAAATGTCTGGCGTTCTTTGTGCGGCTGCGTAATTGCTCGCCATCTGGCAAACACCCCTGGTATAAAGTGCTTTCCTTTCGGAAATCGGTCGAAATCGAATCGAAATCGAAAAGGGGAAGAAGCGGTAAGCGACTGAGCGGAAAAGATATTCAGCTGGAAATTTGGACCCGGCGGTAACGCCAGGAAAAGTTGGGATAAACTTTTTCAAAAATTTCACATACCGTTTTTTCTCTAATAGTAGTGCGAGCCGGGTTGATGACTATTTTACGGTTTCCAAGCTTTTGCAGAAGCTCAACACTCAAATCCCCGACAAGATCTCATCGTCAGCTACATTTTCGGACCTCACATCGATAGGTTCTGATAAGCGGTTCTCGAGATTTCGAGCAATTTAGGCGACGCTCAGGGTGCACTACTATTAGAGAAAATACGGTATATATCACCTAGTACCTCTTCGAAAAAGGTGAAGAGTAGCTGAACCTGAATTCTCATGTGGCATGAGTTTTCTAAAGTGAACCGCATGAACGCATGAATTTTAGGAGTTATTCTTTAAAACGCAATACAAATAATTAAAGTAGGGAAAATGTTTTGATGTGAATTACTTTTGAAACATCATTTTGATTATCAAAAGTTCCAGGATTTTGTTAAAATTGATATTGAAAGAGCCGAGCCATGTTGAAGATGTTATTTCAATGAAAAGTTTCAAGTTCTTTAGAAATTTAATTCAATTCAAAACTTTCAATGTTATTTTGGGATTTCTTTAGCGAATTGCTTGAGAACTGTTGAGCAGGAAAATGTTTTGAAGTTGATTATTTTGAAACATTATTTTTAAAAACTTTAAAAATGCCTTGCTTTGATCAGGAGTGTAATTTTTGACTAACAAGTTGTTGTTTTGAGTGAGAAACTTGGGGTTTATTGATCTAAACATTCGATTTATTGAATTGAATGATGTTTTAGTGAAATTATTTTACGCACAACCAGTCAACCAGTCGATTTTAGTCAACTAAACCGTTGCAAAAAAATTTTGAAACGTCGCTTTTGAAGACTCAAAGATGGGAAAAAAAGGGTATTTAGTGAATTTTTGATTAATATTGATTGAAGACGTGAATTTCCGTTGTTCACCTATCAACAAACGGATCGAAAGTGCACATGTCTACCTTCAACGATGTGCCATTAAACTGTGACTAGACTGCTTCTCTGATAAAGGGATAAGTACCAAAATTTTTGCTCCGTTTCTCATCTTTCTAACCCACCACAATTCTCTCCGAGAACACGAGCAATTGCCCGTTTTTGAACCATTTTTTTTTTTTGAACCAAGAACCGTTTTTGAACCAAGATCGTCGCTTTCGCGCGTCTGTAACTCCATTGTCTTTACCGTATTTCTAAATATTAATATTACCATTGTTTAGCCCTTGAAAAGAGCTTTCAGAAAATGTATAACACTAATAGTTTAAACTCAAAGACAAGGGAGTTACAGACGCGCGAAAGTGACGATCGTTTTTTCAAATATGATATTTCATTGTCCAGTACTGTACTTATTAGTCCACATTTACCATCTAGCAATTTTGCTAAACGGATTTAGCAGTTTAGCATTTATCAACTTTGCTAAATGCTAAGTGCTAATACCAAAACAACAAACCAAAACAACAACAAACAACAACAACAAACAACAACAAACAACAACAACAACAACAACAACAACAACAACAACAACAACAACAACAACAACAACAGCAAAACAACAACAGCAAAAAAACAACAGTAATCAAATTGTTCAATCTATTATTCAAAGTTTCAAGATTAACAGCTTCTAAAAGCTCTTGAAATCATTAATTCACTATTCTTACAATTATTGAAAATAAAAATTATCTTGTTCATTCAGTTTTCATAAACATTTGTTAAACAAACCAATTTTCAGGCAAAAAAATCGACGGGCAGCTATTTCTTCCATCATCTTTTCTGCACTTGGCGTCTCATGGGCTACTCGTTCACGATGATTCTCAGCTAGTTTGTTTTCAAATATCTCAAAATTTACGAGCTAATGATAAGGCCAAATTTTACCATTCTTTTATACAAGGTAAGATTTACTATTTAATTCTCAACGTTTACTAGTTAATTTACTTTCATAGTACTGATTTTTAAATATCTAAAAAGGATGTTTCAAAGAAATGAACTCACATTCAATTCAAATCGACATCTCAAATTCGAATCATATCATTCTTTTATACGAATTAACAAAGCTTTTTACAAGATTTACAAAATTTTTCTTTAAGAATTCGCTAAAATACTTTCTCATTTTCAGTTTTGCCGTCTCGATCATCAACTATGGTATTATGTTTAATATGGAACATTTGGAGGGATCGATTTTCTTCAATACGATCTTTATCGGTAAATATTTTTATTAGATAAAGCAGTTTTTAGCTAAAAATTCAACTTTACACTTTTTATCGAATTTCAGGCTGTTTCCGATATGTTCTCAATGTGATCTCAGCTGCAGTCGATTACAATTATCCAAGAGTTGGAAGAAAAGTGAGTGGTGCTATGCGCTTTCTATCAGCTTTCATTCTCAAAACGTGAATACAATTTAATTCCAATTACTTTAATATCATTTTGATACTAAAAGCTTGCTAGTCTGCCTCGAAATTGCCGTATTTTCTCTAATAGTAGTGCAGTTGCCTAAATTTCTCGAAATCTCGAGAACCGCTTATCGGAACCTATCGATGTGGTGTCGGAAAATGTAGCTGACGATGAGATCTAGTGGGGGATTAGAGGATTGAGCTTCTGGGAAAACTTGGGAACCGTAGAATAGTCATCAACTCGGCTTGCTGGACTGCACTACTATTAGATATACGGTACAAGCTTCTATACAAGTACAAGCTTCTATACAAGTTTCTATCAAAGCTCATCAAGAGCTCATCAGCTCCCATAACCGAAGATCTATCTCTGATGTCTCAATTGCTTCTCTTTTCCCTTGTCAAACTGCACTTTGATTTGCGGGATTAATTATCTAGATCTTTAAACAATGAAAAGAGAAAAAGCGAATGTAATCATTCTCAAGTTGTACTTCTCTAATAGTAGTGCAGTTGCCTAAATTGCTCGAAATCTCGAGAACCGCTTATCAGAACCTATCGATGTGGGATTGGAAAATCTAGCTGACGATGAGATCTTGTGGGGGATTTGAGTGTTGAGCTTCTGCAAAAGCTTGGAAACCGTAAAATAGTCACCAACTCGGCTCACCGCGGTGCACTACTATTAGAGAAAATAAGGTATTTGTTTTCCAAGCTTGACTCTAAAAGGAACTGGGATTATTTTTGCACCAACTGTTCTCATCTTAAATAACTTGAAACTTGCTTCTCAAAATTTCTAGAATTTTTTTTAAAAAACATCTTTACAAAGGGTTATTTTTACTTCCAATTACAAAAAAAACAAATTTCAATTTCAATTTCGTTTCTCAATATAGCAAAATAGGCAACACTTGACGTGAAAGATGAATTGTCGCTCAAAAAGCAAACGCCATACTGAATAAAATGAAAAATACGACTAAAATATGACTAAATTAAGCTAAATTTGGTTTTTGGTGAGAAGCAAATTCATATCCATAATTTACAATTTCACCCGACTCAAATAATTGCAAATTTTTAGACAGCTCACATGTTTTTCTCGGCGTACACCGTGGTGGCGATTGCGATCGCGTTGGTAATCGAGATGTTCGGTGAGCCGAGTTTTTTTTGTGTATTTTTTTGATTCAAAGGTTTTACACAAAGAAAAACTTTTTGACAAATAGATTAAACGTTTTTTTATTAGCCCCGTCAAGGAGGGTCAAAAACATCATTTTTGCTCCTTGTCGGCCCCATTTCTCGTTGTAGAGTTACTTTTGGGAGCTAATTTTTTTTGGTCATCAATATTCATCATGAGCTCTATCGAATGAGGCATCACTCATCCCAAACGGTCACCTTAGGACCATAACCTTGCCAGCTTTTAGTATTTTTCCAAAATTTCGCAGATTACAAAAGTTCTAAAGCTTTTAAACTTTTTAAAAACTGATCTTTGAAAGTTATGTTTCATTGTTTAAATGTTTAAATGTTTCATTGTTTAAATGTTTCATTGTTTAAATGTTTAAATGTTTAAATGTTTAAATGTTTAAATGTTTAAAATGTTTCTTAAGTGTTTCATTATATAACGTTTCATTAATTTCTTTAAATGTTTCATTATGTAATCAGCATTTTCGTTTTCAAGAGTATTTTCAAGCAAGCAAACAAGCAAAATTCTTGATGAATCAGAAAAATTGTGAAACATTAAGATTGTTAAATGTTTTTAATTGATTTAATTGGTTTATTTGATTTAATGTTTTCAATTTCATCAATTCAATTATTATTTTTAGACATCGATTCCCTCAGCTCGATCGTTCGCTATTTGGTGATGTCCGCCGGGTCGATGGTTGCACAGATTTATGTCGTCAATGGGGTCACTTGTTCGGAGGTGAGTTTTTTTTGAAAATAATAAAGATATATAGAATGCAAATAATATCAAAGGAACTGTAATCAATTAAAGCTTAGCTGAAGGTAGATAAAGGCATTCAAACAGCAACTTCTTTCAGAATTTAGCTAATATGACAAGAGTTGAGAGATTTTTAACTTATCATACACTTTTCAAAGCCTTTTCCCCAGCCCTATTGTGCCTTTGACTTGTAACGAATCCTTTAATACTGTTAAAATCTTGAAAATATGTGTGTTTCAAAATTCAAACTGACACAGTAAAATCAGTTTTTCCCTAAGAATTCAAAAATTTAAGTTTCAATTTTCAAAACGGCTCAACTAATGGACGATTTTTAATCGTTTTTGTATTTTTATTCAAATTAACCTAAAAGATTTCAATTGCTTTTTTGCAGTCAATTTTTTTAGAGAAATCTCCTCGTAAATTTACTATTGAGCAAAGCATTTTGAAAGAAAATAAAGTAAATTTCAAATTACATAGTCAATCACTCAAAGAAATGATTCTCTCTAATAAAATACTCCACGAATCTCAAAAGTTTAATAATTTTAATCTTTAGAACGTTCTAATTATTAACTATTGAGCTTATAATATTTTCAAAACGTTTGTCTCAACATTATAAGGTTAAATCGTAGTGGTGGAAATCAAAGTTTTAAATTATTCAGCTATCCGAATTGAAGTTGTTGTTGTTGTTGAAGTTGTTTTTTTAATAAAAGCCTCTTCCAAGAATAATTGTTTTGAAACAACTAAAGCTGTTAAGTCGAAATTTCTAAAAGCTTTCAATAAACTTTTATTTTCTAGATCTATCCAACCGCCGTCCGTAACATTGCCTATGCAACGACGCAAATCAGCGGAAGTATTGGATCAATTTTGGGACCGCAGCTTTTCCATTTGGTATATTCATTGATTCTTTAGTGTTTACTGCTAAATTTAAAAATCAAAATTTATTAAAGATCTTGATTTTAAAACTTTTGACTTAAATTTCTTTGTCAAATCTATGAAATAATTGTTATGTCAACTTCGAAATTGCGATTACGTATGCTAAATTTAGGCCGCATAACTTGAAAAGGATTATCAAAATTGACCTTTTTGCTACTCTTAAATGTTTCTGCTCATTTTTATTGAAATCCTAAGTATTTTTATAGCACAAATATCTGAATTTGCTCGAAATTCGAAACCAAAACATTTTCCAGTCCTCAATCTTCGAGCTTCTTCCCTATTTGGTGATGTTGGCGCTGCAATTCGGCGAGACTTTTTGGTAAGGATTTGCAATTAATGACTTACTAGGAAGCCAAGTGACCTTTTAAAACGAGACCAACTCCATCTTATAGAATCGACTACCCTGATTCCGAATCCGTTTTTAGTTTTTCCCTCCAGGCCTGTGACGCGAGATATTTTAGTTACAAGTTTTAAGCCTCATTACGAGTTCATTTTTCGATTTCGGAGAGTTCATTCAACGGAGCCAATGGCCTTATAATGTCTTGGAAATCAAAGAAAATCAGGACAAATATTTTAGAGAAATCTGATAGAAAATTCGCCAAAGCATCACCAAAACTGCCGACTACTACGGGTCCAAATCACCCTGGTTCGATCCCCTCCTCGGCCAATTTCTTTTGGTTTTTAATCTAGCTCAAATTACATTGAAATCGAAATAAAAATGAAAGTAATGTTTTTATCGAGTCTTTAATTGGGAGCCTGTTATAACATGTGAACCTGCAAAACGTGCCAAACTGACTTGCCAGATTGCCAAACTTGCAAAAACAAAAGAAACTGCCCGAGGAGAGGATCGAACCAGAGTGCTTTGGATCTTTAGTCGACAGCTTTGGCGCTGGACGTTGACTGATGGACGAAAAATAAACTTAAGTGGGCAACTTGTAACTCAAATAACTCGCGTTACAGGCCTCGAGAGCAAAAACTGAAAACGGATTCAGAATCAGCGTAGTCGATTCAAGTTCTTCGGATTTGGAGAGTTTTAAAAGTCGATTTAAATGAAGATCATAGATCCAAGAAAAAGATCAGTAGCAAGATTTTAATGAAACTAAATTTCATTTCTTAAAGTGAACGGCTTTCAGTGCCGATAAAAGTTATTAATCACCGATTGAGAACGATTAACTATGAGAAATAAAATTCCTATTGAAAATAGCTAAATGATAACTATTTTTTTTTTCAATAACATTACTAATTAGCACAATTCTCAAGGTATTCTTTATTTTCTTTTGCTATAATTCACCGATTTCAGTGTCACCGTTCTGGTGCCCGAATCAAAGGGACGACCGATGGCCGATTCGATGCCCGAAGTGAATGAAAGATTCAGGTAAAAAAAAAGTGAAAGAAGCAATTTAAATGTCTTTTTATTCTATAAATGACACATTTGATATTGGTGAAATATAATGGTATAATAACTACCGTAAACACTGTAATAGTACCCCACCCCCATAATGACGGTACGGAGTGTTGCGTAGTCTAGCTTTGAGCGAGTTTTTCTCGACACTGGTTTATGCTACAATGCGCGCTTAGGTATCAAAAAATAGCTGAAATTCAGGGCTATTTTTTGATACCAAAGACGCATTTTTTGAAAGTACGGGCGCTTTGAAAAAAATGAAATACGAAAAAACTTTTGCGACTACGCGATTGTACGAGGGGGGTGGGGTACTATTACAGTATTTACGGTAACAACAAATAGGATTTTACTTTCACTCAGCTTTGTCAGCACATTGGTGACTCGCGGCAGGTTGATCAAATTGAAATCCCAGATTTTTTCCCCTTAATTTTTGGTTGTGAAATTTTTTATGCACAACTCAATCTATTAACACGTTCGGGACGATTCGATCCTTTTATACCATAGGTAAAAGGTTTCATTTAAATCTCTTTATGAAGTATCGGTGTTAGTTGAAAATGTTTTGTTGGCTTTAAAAAAAAACTTTATAATCAAAATGAAATTCCCCAGATTGTGCCGACCAAAAGTGGTGATTGACGACGAGGAAATCAAGAAAGTCTCCCGGCTGACCCCTGCTCTCCCGCAAAATGAAAATATTGCCTAAATTTTTGCTCAAAAATTTCAAAATTTTAAAGCCCAAGTTTCAAAAATTTCGAAATTCAAACGTTTTAGACGCGAAATTTTGTTTTTGCTGGCTTTTTTAAGAGTTTTGTATATAGAGTTTTTCGAAACTTTCGAAAATTTCCCGAGCTTTCTGAATCATTTTGAAATTTTGCGATAACGAAACTGTGTTTTTCATTGTTTTTCATTGTTTTTCATTGTTTTTTGAATAAATTTGGGATCATTTTAAAAAGTTTTAAAACGTAAAACGAGGCAAATATTTATTCAAAACACGCAAATTTATGAAAAAAACAAAACAGAGCACTTTTAAAGAGAAAAATGAGAAAAACAAAGGCACAATGTTGGCAAAATTTCGAAAAATGAATAGAAAAATGCAAAGATTTTGAGATTTCGAGCCAAGAATTGCATGAGGGATCCGAATGAGATTGTCAAAAGTTGAAGGAATTGAAATTTTCAAGATTTTCAAGATTTTAGGCCAAAAGTAGAGCATAGCCGGCTTGTGTGCAGCTCTGGCAACAGTTCAGGAAATAACTGAAAATTGGTTTAGGATTTTAATTTGATTTTCACATTTTTGGATTTTCACGGTTGTTTTTAATCTTAAAACTTTCCTTTTCGTTTTTTATTTTTTGAAGTTTCAAATTTGATCTTTTAACTGCAAGTTGTAGTCAGTTTTAGTTGTGGTAATAAAGCCAATGAATAGGTTTTTATCTCTTTTAAGTTTTATCTCTCCTTTATCTCTTTTAAAAATAGTGATTAAACTTTAAAAAGCTTAAAGCTTACGATATTTTATAGTACGTTTTGGGTTAGGAAATAATGAAATACCTGTAAAATTCTGTAAAGTCACAGTGCCGTTTCTCATTATTGTCAGTTTAAGGCTTTAGCTGATCTTTTCTTTACGATAGATTTTTCTATATCAAATTTTCTTTTAATTGGCTTATCTACGGGAAAACTTGATGAACCTATTGGCTTTTAAAAATGTAATTATTTTCTAGCTTTCTGTTTGATTTTAAAGCAATTAACGATTTAAAATCATCATCATCAAAATCAAACAATCCCATTAGTAAGCGATGAACTTCAATACCATTTTTAACAATTGTAGCTTGACAAATGTTTAATGCCTTTATCTTAATGACAAATGCCTTTATCTTAAAAAATTTGAAACATTTTAGCCTATTAATAGAGGGGATTTGTAAAACTATTTAGCAAAAGCCTACAGCAACTCTTCAAAAGCAATTTCAGAATTATTGGGTTGGTGTATTGAAAACTGCCGGCTACTGTCATATGTGACAGTTTGAGCACTTTCTTCAAAAGAAACCCATTTTGGTATCAATGGAAAAGTTGTAGAGAATCAAAAATCAAGCTTATATCCAAATTTTCAGAACGATTCAAAAACTGGTTTTCAAGAAAGGCCAAATTTACGAATTTTCACAAAACTTGCATTTTAAGCGAAACTACTAAGTATATCTTTTTGAAAATTTGGCTATAAGCCTAATTTTTGATTCTCTACAACTTTTCTATTGACACCAAAATGGGTTTCTTTTGAAGAAAGTGCTCAAACTGGGACATCTCCAGGACATCTCCAGTCCTCCATTTTTGAGTCTCACACTCGTCTCACACACAAAGCAAAATCCTACTCAGAAAGAGGAATCCGCAAATTGCCTGTAAAATGGGCAGAAGTCGTCAAGAATAATGGAAATTATTTCGAATGAATTGATGGTTTTATGTTGAATAAATTTTAGTTCAAAGTCCGGCAGTTTCCAATTCACCAACCCAATAGTAACAAAGACACTGAATGAGTTTTTTCTTTTACCTTTATCTCTTTTAAAAATAGTGCTTTAACTTTGAAAAGCTGAAAGCTTACGATATTTTATAGTACGTTTTGGGTTAGGAAATAATGAAATACCTGTAAAATTCTGTAAAGTCACAGTGCCGTTTCTCATTATTGTCAGTTTAAGGCTTTAGCTGATCTTTGCTTTACTATAGATTTTTCTATATCAACTTTTCTTTTAATTGGCTTATCTACGGGAAAACTTGATGAACTAGTTAACTAGTTCATAAAACTTGGTTTTTAAATGTTTATCTTGATTAACGTTCACAGAATATTTAAATTATTCAATTTGGAACGTGAGAGTCGAATAAGTTAACACAATTTTTAGCTAAACGAACAAACTTGAAAAGAACTTCTTTGAAAGACGCTACTAGCTAAAGTTAAAAGGATAAAATCTAATCTGGATATCATATTCATGCAAAGATGTAGGCTAAAAACGCCAACTATGAACGCATCTTAACCTTTTGCATCATAACTCTGCATCGATATTATATTTTGAGTTAATTTTGGTATCATTCGATGCGCAATTTCATTCTACGTTGAATGATAGTTAAAATGGTCAAAATCGAAGGGTTTGTGCTGAGAAAAACACGAAAAATCTCAAATTGTTAACGGCAAAAAGGCAAAAAAGGAAAGACAAATGTTTTCGTTACAATTTTAATGTTTACTAGTGTCTATTTATATAAAGTCTTTAAAAAAATCCAACTTTTAATAAAAATTAAGAATCTAATCTATGCTGATTGCACAAGTTCTCTTATAGTTAGCTTTTACCTACGGTCGCTTCCGTTTCCTTCCTATTTGCGTTGCTATTTTGCAATTATTCGCGTCGCATTTTTCGTCCTTTTTCTCCCTTCCCGAAATTATTTTTTTTGGTCTGCGGGTTTTTTTTTTTGCGTTCTTTCTTTGTTCTTTCTTGGGGGACTTTGTTGTTTCATTTTTGATGCACATGCTGTTTGTGTAATGGGTATTGTTGACCTTTTTCTCCCCTATTGTGCATTTCGGTTCTGTACTAATAAACAGTAATGTTATAAATTCACTTTACTTTATGCTACCCTTCAGGTTTTATATCCTGTTTAGATAACTGGTTTAACATTGTAGAGAGACTGGTTTTACTAACATTTGTGTCACCATCGACGTAGTATCAATCCGATCCGTACTCTTCTCAAGAGTATTAATCTATTGTTGGATACGACGTGTTCTTGTTACGTTATAAGCGCTTTTGGGGAAACCCTTTTAACCTTTTGTGCTATTCGGCCATTCTTAAGCAGAATCATCCTCGTTGATAAGGTTAAAGCGGGTCGCACCCCAAACTCTACATGAAACAAATCGTATTTCGACTTTGGCGTCTTTTAAGTAAAGGTGGCCTTTTCAATATGTCATTTTAAGTCAATTTTCAGTTAATTTTATGTCATTTATAGTCATTTTCAATAGTTAATTTTTTTTAAAGTATCAAAATCTGCTTAAACTCACCGTTTCTTGTCGCAAAGTTTCATCCGAACGGTTAACGCGCACGTCTTTCCATTTCCTTTGTCGAAACAGATCCGATCGGATGGAGTTGGATCTAGAATTGAAATTTGGATAAGTATTTATTACTATTGTGCTTGAAATTTGGCAAATTTAAGTGCATGGATTGTTTCGATAATTGATTTAAAAGCAAAAAGTGCCCCCTTACAACTGAGACTTAGTAGAAACAGCTCTCTTTCCCGATGCACTTTGACTCGAACTCAGTCAACTTTGAAACTCAGTTTTTGATGCCCGAAATTTGCGCCTACGTCGACTAATCCTAGCAAATTGATTGATTTCTGATAGAATCATAGATAAAAATTGCTATATTTTTGGTAAGTTTTGGTATTAGTCTTGATCTAGATCTCTTTCAAACCAACCATTCACTCGAAGCATCGCTCGATCCGAGAGAATCCCATCGGGCCCAACCGCACAAGTGTACTCGCCAGTGTCCGACATTTCCGAAGACGAGATTCTAACCATCGAAAGATCTGAGTTGCCCTGAAAATGGTGAAATTTTTCCTAAAACTTCAGGTGATACTTTTGACATGGAGAGCCTTACGTTGAGTAAAATAGCGGACGAACACAAAAAATCGGTTCGTAATAATATGCATTCTGTGCTAGAGGTTTTTATTTGCTGAATATTTTGTTTTTATGTTTTTGTTTTTGAGTGGCACTCCAGAAATGATAATGTGGAGTGATAATTCTATCTAATTTTAACTTATGTCTAAAAACTAATCGAGAAAGTCACTAGTGTATTCGATAATCATAAAACAACTTCTTGCGCATGAACGTAAACCGCCGGGTACAAGTTCACAGCTGAATAACTGTCATCTACAAACCAAAGGAGAAATCTCTATGCAAATGTCTGGCGTTCTTTGTGCGGCTGCGTAATTGCTCGCCATCTGGCAAACACCCCTGGTATAAAGTGCTTTCCTTTCGGAAATCGGTCGAAATCGAATCGAAATCGAAAAGGGGAAGAAGCGGTAAGCGACTGAGCGGAAAAGATATTCAGCTGGAAATTTGGACCCGGCGGTAACGCCAGGAAAAGTTGGGATAAACTTTTTCAAAAAATTTCACATACCGTTTTTTCTCTAATAGTAGTGCGAGCCGGGTTGATGACTATTTTACGGTTTCCAAGCTTTTGCAGAAGCTCAACACTCAAATCCCCGACAAGATCTCATCGTCAGCTACATTTTCGGACCTCACATCGATAGGTTCTGATAAGCGGTTCTCGAGATTTCGAGCAATTTAGGCGACGCTCAGGGTGCACTACTATTAGAGAAAATACGGTATATATCACCTAGTACCTCTTCGAAAAAGGTGAAGAGTAGCTGAACCTGAATTCTCATGTGGCATGAGTTTTCTAAAGTGAACCGCATGAACGCATGAATTTTAGGAGTTATTCTTTAAAACGCAATACAAATAATTAAAGTAGGGAAAATGTTTTGATGTGAATTACTTTTGAAACATCATTTTGATTATCAAAAGTTCCAGGATTTTGTTAAAATTGATATTGAAAGAGCCGAGCCATGTTGAAGATGTTATTTCAATGAAAAGTTTCAAGTTCTTTAGAAATTTAATTCAATTCAAAACTTTCAATGTTATTTTGGGATTTCTTTAGCGAATTGCTTGAGAACTGTTGAGCAGGAAAATGTTTTGAAGTTGATTATTTTGAAACATTATTTTTAAAAACTTTAAAAATGCCTTGCTTTGATCAGGAGTGTAATTTTTGACTAACAAGTTGTTGTTTTGAGTGAGAAACTTGGGGTTTATTGATCTAAACATTCGATTTATTGAATTGAATGATGTTTTAGTGAAATTATTTTACGCACAACCAGTCAACCAGTCGATTTTAGTCAACTAAACCGTTGCAAAAAAATTTTGAAACGTCGCTTTTGAAGACTCAAAGATGGGAAAAAAAGGGTATTTAGTGAATTTTTGATTAATATTGATTGAAGACGTGAATTTCCGTTGTTCACCTATCAACAAACGGATCGAAAGTGCACATGTCTACCTTCAACGATGTGCCATTAAACTGTGACTAGACTGCTTCTCTGATAAAGGGATAAGTACCAAAATTTTTGCTCCGTTTCTCATCTTTCTAACCCACCACAATTCTCTCCGAGAACACGAGCAATTGCCCGTTTTTGAACCAAATAATTGGCAATTCTCCGTTGCACGTCAAGATCACCTAAAAATGGTTTTATCATCTATTTTTAATTCGTTGTTAAATGTTTCTGAATACTGTGAAAATCAACAGGAAATTCAGCCCATAAATTGGACTTAGAAATGGTGAACTTTAAACAACTTGAAACACGAATATTTCAACAACATCTTTTAGTTCTTGTTCAAAGTTTAATACATTGAGTACTGTTAGTACATTGGGATCTTCAATATTTCTAAGCTCCAAAAACTCTAGTCGACATTTAGATGAATTTCTACAATTTCTACCTCGTCTCCCGTCGTGAATGGGCCCTCTTTGCTCAAAGTGACCGCGATTTTCTGTTCGATGATCGCTCTCTCGCGTAAACTCGCACACGCTTGCTCACAAAGATTCTCCGATTCGAAACTGAAATTGTTTTTAATTATTTAAAATGTTTTGCGTATTCATCATTAATGCGCAAGCTTGTAGAATCATTAAAGTAATCAATCGTTGACCCTGCCCATTCTGAACAAGGACTTTCTCCACTGCATTTGAAATTTCCGATTTAAAAACCTTTCTTTCCGATAAAATTTAAGTTTGATCAAATCTAAAGCTAATTTTAGAGCTTATTTTATTCTCATGCCAATAATTTAAGCCAAGATTAATAAAGTTTTTCTCAAAATAGCATTGTTTAACTTGAAACAAGTCCATTTGCACTTTTGTTTAATCCAATAAGAAACTTTAAGACAAACAAGCTGATTTTTTGCAACTTTGCCATTTAAAAAAAAATTCTCTATAAAAGTACTTTAACAATTTAGGACTGAAAATTCAACGTTTCTCCCAAGAAAACCCACCGATTCTGATTTCCTTCGCATCCTCCATAGGTGAAATTCTTGCATTTTCCCGAATGAAAATCGAAAAACCATTTCATTTCCTCGCTTGGACATGGACCTTTTTCAAAAGGGAGACGGCAAATAGCTGAAAAATATTTTTGATTTTAGGTTTAGGATCGTTTTATAAAAAATAAAACCGTAACTTTTCAATTGTTCAACTTGAAACATGGACTTTTCATTGAACCAAAAAGTTCTTTTTTCAGTTCTTACAAAAAGAATCGAATTTTCGTTTGATTATTGTTTGTGGAAGGAATTGTTCGTTCTTTCAAAACCGTTTGATTATTCTTTATCAAAGAAAATCATTCAAAACCATTAGAAACACGAGTGAGATCTCTAGATTATCAAATTTCAAACATTAACTTTTCATTTATAACTTTCCCAAGCGTAATCTTAATCCTTGACTTAAAAGCCTGTTCAATCTATTTAAAAAATATTTTCCTGTTCTAATTACCCACTCTGTGCATCGATGAGCGTCAGCGATTCCATTCTTTTCGGTTTGCATCGATTCTCGCATTGATGTCGAGTGTCGAATTTGTTTCCATTTCCCCTACATCCTCCATACGTGAATTGACGACACTCGGAGTCCTGGAAAGCTATCAGTTTTAATTTTAACACTTTAACACTTTATTACTCTAATACTCCAAGTTTAATTTAAACTTATAACCATCCCCTTGACTGTTGAAAGCTGCCTTGTTTTTAAAATGAAAACCCTCACCTTTCCATCCCAATACCATTGTGTGAGCGCGTCTCTGCATGGCCCGCTTTCTCGAGGAAGATCGCACAAATTCCCATCAATTTCCCATTTTGTCTCCACCGAACACAACGATTGACATTCTTCTTTGGAGGAGAATCTGAAAATCGGATTTTAACAAAGCTTAACCGCTTTTTTCATCCTTCCGAAAAATAATCAACTCACCAATAGACTTACTGTTTACTTTAACAGAAAAGTCAACTATTTTTCTGTAAAAGAGCGTTGAAATCTTTTGAAAAGGTTTCAGCTTCGGATTTTTTCAGGGTAGTCAAAACTAAGGACCCCCTAATGCCTGGATTTAGGCACTTTCGTTCACAGAAAGTAAAAGTTAAAGTAAAATCTTCACATTTAAGCCTCATTTTGAAACTTGTATTATCATGTCGATATAAAGCAATAGATGATAACCAAAACGATTTTAGATTCTTAAAAATTAAAGTTTGAAAATGATCGGGATCGAAAAGAAGAATTTGTAGCTAATTGGTTGCCGATCCTGGTTTGAAACTTAGCCTAATTTAGAATTTTCAACTAGATTTAGAAATTGGTTGATTGATTGATTTGTTTTAGAATTCAACTTTCCAACTTTCCAACATCTAACCTTGGAAACTTTAGACAAAGTAAACGTTTAAAAAACATTAGATGCTTTTTGCAAAAGAGACAAAAAAATGAATTGAAGCCAAAGGCCTTCCGTTTGAGTATTTTGAAACTTGCTTGTCTTTTCGATACTTACAAGTTAAACGATCAAATTAGAATTTAAAAAATTAACCTGTTCAAATTGCCTCCACATCCACTCCACATCATCAATCGACATTCCCTCATTCCCACATCGAAATACCACTTCGAAACCGCCAAATCACAGGTGCCATTCTCGGGTCGGAGAGTGCAAATCGGCTGAGAGCGCATTGGGCCACAAGCACGGAGACACGACTCCTGGAAAAGAAAACGATATATATATTTCAACGGTGAGACGCAATGCGTATCTTTATTGCCAATGGGCTGACATTTTTGGACTTCAAAAGAAAAGAAAGAAAAGAAATTTCCCGAGAAACCCCACCTCAGACTCGAAATGATTAGCGTTTGGCTCACATCCGGTATACATAAAGCTGACACAAGCAGATTGATCGGCATCGTACCTAAAAAGAATCCGATTAGAAAGAAATTAGAACTTTCCCCACCTCCATTTCAGCTCCTCTCCAAAACACGATCCTTTTTGCCCGGGCAAGAGGCACAACTCGGGAATCGGGGATGATGGGACGATGAAATGCTCTTTCTCCGGTGATTTCTCCGTTTTCTTCATCGGCTAAACAAAAGTTTGTTTATTTTTTTTTAATTAGCAAAAGGAGTGTAATTAAAATCATCGACTCCGTTCTCAAGCATTCTGCTTTGAAACATTGAAAATTTGACCTCAATTTCTTGTTCCTTAATCATTTGCAAGCGTTCGTCGAATGAATCGCTTTCTTCTTTTGATTTTCCGTCAGTGATCTGAAAGTAAGCAATTTTTTTAGAATATGCACAGTTTAAAAAAAAGTAAGTTGCAAATTATTCAAACGTGAGCTCGTAAAAACTATGAAATCACACGTTTTCTACAAATATTTTTGCTTTAGCCGCTGGTTTTACCCCAAAACTTTTGTAAATATGTTATTTCGTTATAAGAATAATATCGAAAAACAGAAATCGACATTTTTACACGTCAAAAGTACGTTTTCGTACAACACACGATTTTCACTTGTAAAAAAACTGACTGACTTTTACGAAAATGTACTTTTGACGTATGAAAATGCCGATTTCTGTTTTTCGATATTATTCTTATAACGAAATAAAATATTTACAAATGTTTTGGGGTAAAAGCAGCGGCTAAAGCAAAAATATTTGTAAAAAACGCGATTCCATAGTTGTTTTTTACAGAGTGTTTAAGAAATTCCGATAATTCTCCGGCATGCAAATCACAATAAATCTTTTGAGTGGAAAGGATGATTTTTGCTTTTCGCACTCATTTTACCTATTTTGTACCTATTTTGTACCTATTTTTTTACAAATTCCCAATTTCCAGACCTTTTCCGCGTCGTTTCTTGGCAATCCTCGATACAATTCCAGAATCGGTGCATCGTTTTGCATTTGTTCTTCAGCTTCTTCTTTGTTTGTCTCCTCGGGCATTGTCAGAGCCTGAAATTAACAAAATGTTTAGTTTTCAACGAATGAAAAGAAAATCGAAAGAATTTCAATAATTAAGGATTTCGAACATTGTGTTTCAAGTTTAATAATTAGTGAATCCTAATAATCGAGGAATTGGGTCGAAAAATTGAAAAATTAAATGGAAGAGTCGAAAAATTGGATCGAATTGAATTGAACTTAATCTTAATACCGTATTTCTTCGAATAGAAGACCGGGTAAAGAGTATCATCGCGTACTCCTGCGTAGCAGCCCTTTTTAAAATTTCTTTTCTGCATAAAAGCTTTCAATCAAGTGCTATAGAGCTGGAAAATGGCTCAAAAATCTGTTAGCTCATGTCGTATTTTTGAGTCATTTTCCAGCCCTATAGCACTTCATTGAAAGCTTTTATGCAGAAAGGAAATTTTAAAAAGGGCTGCTACGCAGGAGTACTCTTTACCCGGTCTTCTATTCGAAGAAATACGATAAACGGAATGGTAAATATTTACCTACACAAGCTTGTTCGTGAAAATAAAAGGGTTTTATAATTTAATCTTTGAAAACCGTGTTTCAAGATTAGCGCCTTCTTGCCTCTTTTAGTCTGAATAATGTGCTGAATAAGAGAATTTTCATGTAAAATCATTAAATTATTACAGCAAAAGGCTATGCTTAAAAAGTGAATGCAATAGTTAAAAAAAACTAGCCGTTGAAGTAGGCAAATCTCGTTTTTCCGTTGTACACCTATCGAAAATCAGACCGAAAATGAACGACTTTACAATCGTTCATCTTTAGGGATCAAAAGTTTGATCGAATCTGTGTTTCAATGACTTTTACACATATGATTAAAATGATTTCATTAAAAGTTCCCCTACGTGTTGAAGGTTTATCAAACTTGAAACTTAAATCCGAAAATCTTCTTGATACTTGTAAATTTTTGTACTTTCGGTTTCGGTTTGAGATGAGATTCTTTTGAGATCTTGTTTTCAAATTCCCCACCTGGTGCATCACCGGCGCGCACTCGTTTTCGCAGTCTCGTTGTGTCAAAAAACGATTCTCATTCCCTCCACATCCACCATAATAGAATTGAAGGCATTTGTTGATCGACGGCTCAAAGTAGAACATCACTTGAGCGTTGCTGGAAAGTTTTCCTATTTTAAAAAAATCAACTGTTCAACAGTACTTTACGAAAATTTTTGTTTGTTTTAATTTTGGTGCTGTTGAAAGCATAGGAAAATAACTGATTTAACTAATTCCCAGCAAATAACTAGTTTCTAGGGTTTTTTTTTCAGTAATATGCTGTCAGCTCCGAGCCAAACTGATATTTTAGTTACTATTGTTATTATTGAATGATTTGTCTATTCTTGTGCAAATGTGTCCTCCCCTGTGCTTATCCCTTTTATTGCCGAGAAGGGGCGGTCCTTGGGATTGCCTAGGAGGACAGTGAGGAGCCTAGAAGGACAGTGAGAAGCCTAGGAGGACAAGTGGGGAGCCTAGGAGGACAGTGAGAGCCTAGGAGGACAGTGGGGCCTGGAGGACAGTGGAGCCTAGGAGGACAAGTGGGGGCCTGGAGGACGTGAGGGCCTGGAGGACAAGTGGGGGCCTGGGACAGTGGGCCTAGAAGGAAGTGAGGCCTAGGAGGACAAGTGGGGGCCTGGGGACAGTGAGAAGCCTAGGAGGTGAGAAGCCTAGGAAGACAAGTGGGGAGCCTAGGAGGACAAGTGAGACTCTCATTTGGAGTCCCCCCTTACACTTATTTGTAATCTATTCGTCTTATTATACTACTGTAAATAAAGATACATATCTTCTGGGTCTATGCAACTGCAGTACAGGTCGGTCATTTCACAGGGACTCCCCTCTAATACGTTGGAGAAGTTGAGTTGGGTTGTCGGGGTGTTAGAGATGGCGGGATATCAAAAGGGATCCACTCTCTTTAACTTAACCCAAATTCTAGTCCACATCCGTTTATACCTAGGAACGAATAATGCTTGAAAGTTCTAGTATGACAGTTATTAATTGGTTGATTTTCTCAAATTTCTCAAAATTCCGTATAATGCTAACTTCATAAAGTCGGTTTTTTTGCAAATAAGAAAGTAGGTTTCATGTTGATTTGAATCGTTTTGGATAATCAGCGTTTGCCATTGATTGCCATCCTTAAACTGAAGCTTTGCGGTTGAAAGCCGACTTTGCTAAGAGCTTTGTGTAACTCTTTTAGCAATTTTACTGTGTTTGTTGATTAGAACAAAACAAGAAAGCAAAATTCCACAAAAATTTATGAAAATCTCGCTTCAAAGTCGATTTTGAGTCGGAAAAAACGTTTTCAGCAAGTTTAACTTGCTGAAATGTCGATGAATCTATATAGTGTTGATCTATGCAATGCTTTGCCCAACACCCTACCGGCAACCCTTGCAAAGGTTGACAATTTTTGAGAATTGAATCTAAACTTTAGATACTTTATTTGCGATTCTAGATTTAAGAAATTTCGCTTACGGTTTTCTAGTAGGCAATAAACAGTAAGTTTTTTAATAAAATTAGATTTAAAATGAAATGGACTAGAAGTGCAACTTTGAAACATCGTTTTAATAACAAAGGCGCAGTGATGAACGTTGCTATTTTTGTAAACTAAACCAAACAAATTTTTGTAACTTAAATAATGTTGAATATCAGACTTAAAAATACCGTAAATACTCTAATAGAAAGCCCCATAATGACGGGCGTAACGCCGTAATCTCTAATAGAACGACCCATAATGACGCGTAGTCTAACTTTGAACGTACCGTTCTCCGCGCTGCTTTATGCTACAGTGTGCGCTTGGGTGTCAAATGGTAGCCCTTAAAATCTAGTATTTTTTGGTATCAAAAGTGTAATTTGGAAAAATCTAGGGGCTGAGAAAATAATGATTTTCAAAAAAGAGGTTAGACTACACGACTGTACGAGGAGTATTTACGGTAGCTTGCTTAAAACAAACAAACCCGCATGGTCCTGGCTCATGAGTCAAGTGGCATTTGTTCGATTGGATGATTTTTGAGTCTCTTGGTGGTGAGAGAAGGAGTGAATGGATTGGATTCTCGGGTTGAACGGGAAGAAATGCAGAGAGGGAAGAGGGAGAACGAGCGGCTGATGGAGAGGATGAGGAAGAGGCTAAATGACAATCATGTTAATGACACACGAATAGACCAGTAGCTAATCTACAATGTTAGTATTGTACTCCAAATCTGGGATTAGACTCTTTTCCGGCACCCTTCCTTACCGGTTTAAATTGTTCATCCTTCTAGTTGCTTAGTTTGAAACTTTTACTTTCAAGGCGAAATATTTTGAATGATTCCTTGCATAGAAACCTGCATAGAAACTATTAAGGAAGAAAAAAACTACTTGGATTGATTCGACTTTTTTGTTGGCAAAATTGAAACTTAGGATTTCAAAGGTTTTTAGCTAGACTTGTTTGAAGTTAACTTCTTAATTTTCCTAAACTTACTAGAGAAAGGCACCAGATCAAGGTGATATTTCATAGAGTTTTGAATGTTGATTCTGAATCCGCTTTTAGTTTTTCCAATGGAGCTCTGTATCACAAGATATCTGGCATCAAGGTTTAGGTCGGTTTTTCGGAGTTTTTATTGGCTTCGTGGGTCGTAAGTACAGTTATTTTTCAATGAATTTGATGCATTTAATGCATTTTTGCAATGAATTGTATTGCATTTAATGCAATGAATTTAATGCATTCAATGCAATGAATTGCATTGCATTTAATGCATTTAGTAAATTTTCATTTGTCGTTCTTTGTTAATTGCAATCAATTTCCTTAAAAAAGCAAAAAAAAGCAAAATTTCGCTGAAATACTGTCGGATTTCGGGTCTTAAACTTTGATGCCAGATATCTCGAGATGTAAAGCTTTATTGGAAAAACTAAAAGCATATTCGGATTCCCCATTCAAAACTCTATCAAATACACTAAATGCGCATCAAAATGACCACCTTCCCCAGTTAGAAGCTTCAAAAAAAGCAGTATTTCGATTGAAAAAAATGGTACCCAGGTTGTTTTCGAAACCCACCGATGAGTAAGATTACGATAACTTTTTCCCCCGAGCGCGCCCACCTTTTAGGAAACTATAGGCTTTAGATTTTGCAGCTAGGCTAGGTAGAATTACGGTGAGCTAGCTGAATCACTCCAATGAAAAGTGAAAGTTTCAAACTTTGAGCTTAACATTATTCAAAGTGTAACAAAAAAAAACAAAAACAAAAAACCGAGATTTTCATTCATTTTCGAATTTTCTACAGTTTTTTGAACTCAAAATTTCACTGAATTTAAAGTTTAAAACATAGAAGTGATTAAAGTTCGGTGAAAGGTTTAAAAGTTGAAAATTTTGAAACTGAATGAAAATCTCTTTGCTCAAGGGTTAAAATGAAATCAAAAAAAGCGAAAAATCTTCAAAATCTTCAAAAAATCTTTCAAAAGCCAACACAAAAATGTTAGGAAAACACAAGAAAAGGGGGTGGGACAAATGCTACCTTTTTTTGCGCACCTGGACATTTGCGCACCTTTTTTTGCTGGAAAAGGCCTTAGGAAAGGTCGTAGAGCTTCGAAAATGTTTTCATTTCAGGGAATCGTATGCGTAGATTCAGAATTTTGACAAATCAAACCTCGCCGACACGTCAAATTTGGGCTAAAAGGCAAAAACTACGCAACTTAACGCTTTTCCGCAGTTTTTGCCTTTTAGCCCAAATCTGACGTGTCAGCGAGGTCTCATTTTTGTCGAAATTCGGAATCTACGCATACGATTCCCTGAAATGAAAACATTTTCGAAGCTCTACGACCTTTCCTAAGGCCTTTTCCAGCAAAAAAAGGTGCGCAAATGTCCAGGTGCGCAAAAAAAAGGTCGCATTTGTCCCACCCCCCAAGAAAAGCTTCTCTTTTTTTCAAAGCCAAACAAATTGACAGGTTAAAGGTTAAAGGTTAAAGAAATTTCCTAACATTCATGCTTTTAATGGAAAAAAAATGGTTAAAACAAAGAAAAGCGGAAATTCTAGCACACAAAGCATCAGTTTTGTGTATTTTTTAAAGGAAATTTTTAGATGATCTGGATTTATTGAAGAAAAGTTTCAAAAAAAAAAGAAAAAAGACAAAGTTGAACAAGTTGAGAAGGGGAAAAAAAAGGCATAAATTGTCAAAAGTTTTCGGAAAAAAAAGAAAAAGTGAAATCACAATTTCGCAAAGAAAAATAGAAAGAAGAGAAGGGAAAATTCTGAGAGAATTCTCGAGAGTTTGTAATGTTGGGGCAGTGATAAAGAGAAAAATTGGGTAAATTTGGGTGAATTTGGGTGAATTGAAGTAAATTTGAGTAAATTGAGTAAATTGAAGTAATAACCATGCTTCTTCTAGCAAAAAAAGTCAAAAAAAGTTGATTTTTGTAGAAGTAATCTGCTAAAATTTGCTGAAACTTTAAAGTGTTTTCGAGATTTAACGCTGTGATTTATGAGATTTAAGATTTAAATCTAATGAGATCAAAAATCTAGAATCGATTTAGTGGAATGCTTTAAAATTGTTAAAGGCATTCATCTCGATCTCCTTTTTTTCTGGCCTCTTTGAATTCGGCTCCCTACGGGGCGCCTCCAGAAGCGAACCTTTTCTCATACGCCAACCTTCAGCTTCCTCTAAAAGCCCCCACAGTTTCTTTTTTAATCGAGTTATTAAATCCTGGAACATTTTACCCCCTCATGTTCGTGATATTTCCACCTTGGCTAGATTTAAAGCCGCAATTTCGGCAATTGACTTGACTGCTCTGTGATTCTTTCTTGAGGTATCTTTTTATCTTTTCGGTGGGTTTTGAGTGGTGTCCCGGGTAGTTATTGTGACTTTGTTTTGTCGCTATTCAACTGAATAAAGCATATATATATAAAGAGATTTCATTAAAGAGTTTTAAAGAGGTATCTCTATACTTTAATAAAAGAGATTTATCTAATTTTTTGCGTTTCACTCTTTTTGAGAGACTAAAACGAGTAAAAAATGAATGAATTTTCAGAAAAGACTTTAGAAAAGCTTTTCAGAAAAACTTTTCAATTAAAAGCTTCATTTTTCATGATTAAATTTTTATTTCTTTCATTTTTGACATAAAATGAAATAGTGAGTTTCAATTTATGTAAAGTTGAAAGAAAAAATCAATCTTTAATTGTTTCGAACTAGAAGATTAAAAAAAATCGTCAAAAGTTTGAATCAAAATGCCAAATTTACTTAATTTTATAAATTTTAATTAATTTAAACGTTTAATTTAATTAATTTTGTCAATTTTATCCCTCTATTCACTTTTTTCTAAATTTTTCTGTTTAAAGAAGCATGGCTAATCTTATTTTTTGTCGAAAACTCGTAGAGAACAGAAGAAATCGTTTCTTGGAGAGAGAATAAGATTAAAAACGAAAGAAAATTTCAGAATTTCATCAACATCAACAAAGATAAGTTAAGAGAAAAAAACAAGGAAATCATTGGAATTTTTTTTTTTGTGAAAATTCGATGTTTCAAAATTTTTCAAGAATTCATTTCTTTCACTTTTCACTTACGTGCACAACGAGCCAGACATTCCTCGATGGTCGCGAAACTGGAAAGGAACATTTCATTTGAGATTTCATTTGAAACTTCATCAAATTTAAATCCTTAAACATTTCCTTTAGCTTCTGGGCCTTTTTGGAAGGATTTTAAAAAAGCCGAAAATCAGCTTATCTGACTAGTTTTGGGTTTTTTTTTGAGTTTTCAGAAAACGTGTTTCAAATTATTTGGGAAAAAGAAGAAACATGCTTCTTTTTAGAACAAGGAACATTGCTTCCCATTCACTGTTTCACTGAATTCACTGCTTATATACAATATTCGATTATTGCTTCTTAGAATTAATCCTTTTCGAAAATGATTCTAATTCTCTAATTCATTGACTTTTAAGCTTTTCGAAAAGTGCTTCAAATTAAGGAAATTGAAAGGCTAAACTTTCCACTCTATAAACTTTTTATAAACTTGAGATCCACTTTTAAACTATCTCTAAGTACTACCGTAATGCCGTACTTAGAACGCCAGCCCCATAACGACGGGCGTACAGTCGTGTCGTCTAACTTTAAACGAGTTTTTCTTGGCACTGCTTTAAGCTACAATGTTGGCTTAGCTATCAAAAAATAGCTGAAATCCAAGGCTATTTTTTGAGACCAAAGGCGCATTTTTTGAAAATAAACGCTCTGAAAAAAATGAAATATTAAAAATACTTTTGCGACTACGCGATTGTGCGAGGAACTGGCGTTCTAATATTTACGTAGAGTATTTACGGTAGCTATTTAGTTTCTCTATTTTCTCCTTTCCTAATCCCTTTCGTTTTTTCTCTCACCGATTCGTATTCCCGAGACATCCTCCATAAACGAATTCCTCGCATTGACGTGTGGCTTGATTGTAGAAGAAATTCTTCTGTTTTCCCGAGCATGGACCTTGCACCTTGGGCAAGAAACAGGAATCTGAAAAACTTTAGATAAATACTCATTGTACTACTGGAAATTTGAACAAAAGCATTGTTAATTTCTTATAAATAGAGTTCAATTGAATTTGAGACAAATGCCGAATCAAAAAAACGATGTTTCAAAGTAATTAGCGTGCCTACAAAGACTATTTGGTTAGTCATAAATCGGGATAAACATTGAGAATTTCTTTCATTTAGCTATCCTAAATAATTAGATCTAAATCTATAAATTTGACTCAATTTTTAGCTCTACAATCAAGAGGAAAATATGGCAAAAGTGCAAAATTTTCTCGTTTCTCTGAATTGTGTTAATTTTTTTTGGATTTATGAAGCAGACTAAAAAAATAAGCTAAACTCAGTCGTTCTAATAGAGTATTTACGGTAGCTATTTAGTTTCTCTATTGTTTCTTTATTTTCTCCTTTCCTAATCCCTATCGCTTTTCCCTCAGGTCCATGCTTCGAAACAGCATTTCATATTAAAAACTTGTTTTCTAAAAATTCTCGATATTTTAAATTTCAATGATTCCATGATAATTCCCAAAAAAAAGCGAAAGAATTTCGTTTTTCAAAGTAAGTGATATCTCCGAGTACGCGCTTAGCTTTCTTTCTGACGCATAAAACATTAGCCAAATTTTGTTTCAAAGCCATTTTTTCAAAGCCAACAACTTTTCGCTTTTCTTGCATCTTTTCAAACGAACCTTGATGTTGTGAGCAGGCGGATTTGCAGGCTTGTTCGGTGTCGAAACGATTGCCCGTTCCCTCACAGCCACCGTAGTGGAAGCTGAAAATGTCGGAATTGAAGGGGAATTTGAAGTTTTTGAATAGGTTAACTTTTTAAGAATGACTCCAAATTGTCAGCTTTTTAGGTCAATTCTTAATTCCCTCTCGGTTCGAAATTCTTTGCCATTCATTTCTTTACTCTATTAATTTCACTCAGCTGATCAAGGCTGTTCCAAAAAGCCAAGCCAAAGCCAAGCCAAAGCCAAGCCAAAGCCAAGCCAAAGCCAAGCCAAAGCCAAGCCAAAGCCAAGCCAAAGCCAAGCCAAAGCCAAGCCAAAGCCAAGCCAAAGCCAAGCCAAAGCCAAGCCAAAGCCAAGCCAAAGCCAAGCCAAAGCCAAGCCAAAGCCAAGCCAAAGCCAAAGCCAGGTATCTGTTTACAATTGTTTAGTTTCGCAAGTAGATACTGTACTGTTTGGCAAAACTATTCAAGAAATTATTGGCTTATAAAATCAGCTTCATTTTTGCTAGATTTCCTCACCGATTGCACGTTCCATCGGCTTTGTTGTAGAACCATTTCGTCTGGAATTGCACGCACGGACCCGTGTCTTTCGCCTCATCACACAATGAGTTTGCTCCTGCACCAGCCCCTAGAATATTCATCGTTTCAAAGTTTAAGTACAAACAAAAGCCGAAGCTTTTAATCAACGAGAGTTTATTTCGAAGAATCTCTAAGATCTCTTGTTGATTTAAAGCTTTCAAATCTAGATAAAGAAACTGAATTAAAGTTTAAGTTTGAAACAAAATGATAGAAAACGATTTTTGAATCATTGCAATTCTTGAAACATTCAGAAAATCATTGTTTAACAATCGAATCATGCTGAAATCTTGCAATTCTCATTCTTACAAACGGGAAATGAACAGAAATTGAACTTTTAGTTGAGTTTCTAATCCATTGAGATTCTAATCCATTGAGAAAACTGATTGAGAGATGATGGTTTAAAATGGTTTAGCCAAATTCAACCAAAATCAACCCATTCTAAACTAAAAAACAAACCAAAAAACAGACCATTTGGTGGAATGACGATCTCTTCATTTCCACGAATCTCTCCATCTTTTCTCAAGCAAAGACTTTCACAGGATTCTTTCGTGTTGAAGCGATTGTTGTTCCCTCCACATCCTGAATACGAGAATTGCTCGCAGGCACCCGATGCTGGCTCGAAGTAGTACATCTTGAAGGCGCCCGAGCATTTGCCCGATTGAACGGGCAATTGACAAACGTCACGCGATTTCGATGAGCCGACTGCTGAAAATTGACATGCGTCAATCTTGAAACAAAGGGAATCTCTTGCATTCAAGTGATGATGGATTGTTAGAATTTTCGGAGGTTAACTGAACCCTTTTCTTGTTGTTTCTAAAGTCTATCGGGCATTTTGATACGCGCCCCGCCCTTTTGTCATTGACAATCCAACTTTGAGCTCAAATATCTTGGTGCTGGGCTGTCTAATTTATAAATTATGAATATCATTAGATGCATCAAGGCTTTCTCTATCGATTGGTACGAAAACTATTTAAATTGGACAAGCCAATACCAATACATTTGAGCTCAAAGTTAAATTGCCAATGGCAAAAAGGGGCGGGGATGGGTATAAAAGGTCCGTCGCCCCGCCCCTTTTTCCATGAGCAATCTAACTTTGAGCTCAAATTTCTTGGTTTTGGGCTGTCCAATTCAAATAGTTTTTGTACCAATCGATAGAGAAAGACTTCGCGCATCTAATGATACCAATAACTTATAAATTAGACAGCCCAACATCAAGAAATTGGAGCTCAAAGTTCGATTGCCAATGGAAAAAGAGGCGGAGCGCGGATCAAATGTCCCACAATCTTTTCTAAACTTGGCTACTGTAAACTTATCGCAATCTAATCTTATAAACTATTGAAATTGATTAAATTTTAGGAATATTGCAGTATTTGACTAAAAGGGGAACCAAGAAATGACTCTAGCAAGACTCGGCTCGCCAAAAGAAAACTAAGTTCTAACTTCTCATAACCTAGTCGATTAAATTGAAACTAGCTTTTGCATTGAGCGCACTTTCAAGGAAATCTGATGGGAAATGCATTTTTCAGTCAGTTTTATTCATTTTTCGACAAATGGAAATGTTAATCTTTTCAGATTCAACTCAAAGCCGTTCAAGTTGAAACTCAGTTTTTCTCTCCTCAACTCTATCAATCCACCAATTCTATTCTTTTCAATGCGAGCAAGCAGAGAGGGGAAAGCTGAAATGTTGCAATTAAAATTTGAATTGAAATTGGGAAATCTGAAAGTGTGATCTGAAAAATCTTGACAGCCAAAGTGAAAAAGCCAAAGGAGAAGTGGCATTCACTGGCTTACAGGGTCTAAACGATCGTCCGGCAGCATTGATCTCCAGTGAGCCTTGAGCAGGCGAAGTTGGGGCATTGGGTGGTTGTTGATGTTGATAATGTCTAGGCAAATCATTTGGCTGTTGTTGGGCCTCGACTGGTCGTTGCTGGGATTGGTGAGGATGTTGAGGCTGTTGAGGATGTTGAGGATGTTGTTGTTCTTCTCTATCCCTTGTCAACAACTCCTCATCAGCAGCTGGTCTTGGCCCTCTCCTCTCTTGATTTCCCCTCAATTTCGCCGCTTCTCTGCGCGCTTCGAGGATTTTTCGATGTCTTTCTTCATGCGCTTTCAATCGGTCATCTTGGAATTTTTGGTGATCCGGATGATTTGGATCCCTCCTTGGGTCTCTCGCCTCATCCAACGGCGTTTCATTGGCTATATTAGAATTTTAGAATTGTTATCCTACATGATTTTACTAGTTGTATCAATTAGAATTAACTTTTCACTTACTAGCTGGATGCTGGGGAGTTGGGCGAGCCTCGAGTCCAGGAGCTGGTGGCGGTTGAACGACTGAAAATTTCACTGTTTCAAGTAATCTAGGGTCAAAGTAGGTTTTTATTCGAATCTACATTGAATTTGATGGAAGAAATATAAAATTTGTTTTGTAGACTTACCGATAAAAACATAGAGAAAACTAGGGTCAAAGTCGAGATAAGTGTCTTGCATTTATAGGGGTATCGTCATGATACCCCAATAAATCTATTGCGGTATAACAACTCTTTTCTTTTTCCCCATATCTCAACTTGCAATTGACCGATCAACTTGTGGTTGGTTTTAAAATATTCTTTATGAAATTCCGTTATAGAAATCCACTATTTATTTACTACACACTAATGTAAAGACATAGAGAAAATCTCGGTCAAAGTCAGACTATCCACTTAAAAGAGTCGATCCACTTAAATGGTCTATAACTCAAGATCTAAAAGTTGAATCAACTCAGGGTTAGTTTTATTAGAATCTACATGAAATTTGATTTTGGTTTTTCTGAGCAGAAGTTTGCAATTGCGATTTTTGCCCTACACACTCTAATAATGTTTTTGAAAACAGTAAAATATTAAGATTTTGAATAGTTTTAAGCAGTTTTACACTACTGGCTGGCTTTGGCTTTACATACTTTAAAATTACATTCTGATGCACATTATTGCTGACTGCTGACTGCTGACTTGTTTCTCCTTTAGTTGATCAATTTAAAACATTTTCTATTCAAATATTTCCCTTTAGAAATAGACTCATCGTATGTACCAAAAAAATTCAGGTGAAACCTTTTTCAAATTTAAGCTAAATGCTTTCATTTGTACTCTAAATAGAAAAAAAAGCTAATGTGCTTGTAATCTATTTTCCCATTTTTTTCCTCTTCTTTTCCCCTCACCTGGTTGCTGTTGTCCTCTCTTGTCATTCAAAAAGGAGCATCTTCTTTGACATTCATTTTCCGTCTCGAAACGATTCAAATTTCCGCCACAACCGCCATACGTGAACGTTTGACATTTGCCGGTGAAGTGATCGTAGTGCCTGGAATGTAAAAATGGGCATTAATTTGAGCTGGAAATATCAAGTTTCAAAATTGAGCAATTTAGAGAAAAAACGGAATGCCAATCAGCGATGCGTATGTCAATTACGAACATTATTATTATTATCATTATTATTGTCATTTATTATTAAGGATTTAAAACTACATGAGCTTTTTCTCATCTATTGTAAATCAGATTCAGTTTAGCAAAATTCCTTACCATTTCTCCTTGTATTCAGTGCACGGGCCGGCGTCAGCGGTGGATCGACAGATCTCTTCCATTGTGGCTGAAAATATCACATTTCATATTTATATATGAGAAATCTAGCATAGAAATTACAGATAGAAAGTGGACATTTTAAGCCTTGATAGCTTTTCTTATCGTACTACAACTCACGCCTTGGTGGCCGGGATCGATTGTCGGGTTGTTGCTGGGGTTGTTGAGGAGCCTCGGTGGCTGTTTGAGGCAAAACTTCGATCTAGAAAAAAACGGGATTTCAAAATTGAAGTCTATTCTAATGAAGAATTCTATTCTATTCTAATGTTTTCAATGATTTAAAGCATGAATATGGATTGATAGCTATAACTCTTGATCTAAAATTCTCATTAAATCACAAGCTAACAATCCGACTTTTCGACAATCCGATTACAAAATTCAATTTCACCTGTGGCTCCGGAGTCCTTGGCGCTTCGGTGGTCGTCTCGACCGGCAATGGTCCAACATCTTTGCAGAATGTCTATATTTCCATCATTTTCCCCATTTCTTTCTTTCAACTCACCGAACACTCCTCCCAACTCTGGAAATTGTTCGCATTTCCCAAACAACCTCTCCACCAGAAAGCCGCGCACTGTTTTGTGTTGTGATCGTAGTAATAACGAGCTGTTGGCGAATCGCAGCGCAATGGCCCCTCATTCTTCGGCAAATAGCAACGACCTAGAGAATTTGAGTTTATTTAATGTTTGATAATTTTTTTTGGTATATTAAAGTTTATTTAATGTTTGCTGAACCATTTCCTTAGCTGCTTTCAAGTTACAGATTTCAATGTTTCAAAGTAATCGATGTTAAATCGATTTTTTTCGGAATAATTCCTTGAGTTCAGCGGTCGGCAAAAAAATTGGATTATTTAAGCATTGAAAGCTTCTATTACAAGTTTTTTTAGCTAAACCTTTAGTCAATCAAAGCCACAGCTTATTATCGTATTAAAATAACCAGCTAAACTGCATATCCTTTTAGAAATCTCAAATTGGAATCAGTCTAGAAGCTGGATACTTATTACAGTAGACTAACGACTAATCAGTCAATCAAAGCCACAGCTTATTATCGTATTAAACTAAGCAGTCGTTAGCCTACTGTAATACTAACGCTTTATAGTATTTTTACGGTTTAATACCATTTTAAAAGCAATGTTTCAAATCTGTTAAGGTTTGAAAAATCAAGGAAATTCTCCAAAAACCAAAATCGTACCTTGCTTTGGCGGCTCAACACACACTTCTTTGCACATCTCCTCAGTGGCGAATCGATTCTGATTTCCATCACATCCACCATACCAGAATTGAGAGCATCGACCCTCAGTCGTATCGTAGTACCAAGACTGAAAAAAAAACAAGAAAAGTAGGAGTTTGTAAAGCTTTGAAAGTCTGTATAAAGAATATCTTGTTCAGCTAGGCTAGCCAATGCAAAAAGAAATCCTTGTTGATTGCATTGCTTTGTGCTTTCTTAAAGTCAAGATGCTCATTTTAAAATTCACCAATTTGTATCCGGATCCGCAAACGCTTCCTTTGTCCTCGGGAAGAGCGCATGCCTGGATCATCGCTGGAGCGACGGTGCCTAGAAAAATCGAGAATACAATGGATACCAAATGAGTTAGAGATTATTAGATGAGTTAGATTTATTTACTGTTTATAGACAAATCTAAAAATTGATTTTAGTGCTTTATATGCGAACCAGGGAACCAAGGAAAGGGGCCGAGCAGCGCGAAGGGTGAGCAGACTATCCACTACACCATTCAACTCGCAGAAAGACGTAAATCAGCCCCATACCCCGCTAGCGCCGTTTTTTCAAAAAGTTCCCAGACTTTAAAAGCATTTTTCTCAAAACCTGGATGCTATGGAGTAAAACGGAAAACCAAGTATCCCTTAGAATTTGAAGGTGACGTTTCTACGCCAGATCCCATATCCCAAATCGATTCTAAGCTTTTCCTTTTGCGTACCTCCTCTCTTGTATGGCAATGGAGTGGTTGATGGACATCCTTGGTGATTTGGACCCAACGCTTTCGTTTCCTGATCGGGACAGCAACCGTATCTGAAATTTCTTGGGTTCTTTAAAATTGAACTTTTTTAAACTACAATCCTGGCTTAGAACTGTTGAGATTTTGAAATTCGATCAATTTCTCACTTAGCATATCGACAATCATCGCATCCTTCCAAACGTGGTCCCAAAGCGGTCGTCTCTCCATCAGGGCAACATCCATATCTCGTGTATTGACATGGACATCCCTCTTTATTCGCTCCGCGAGCAGCCGTTCGACCATCCGGACAACAACCGAATTGACCTGGAAAATGGGAAAATCGTTTAAAATCGTGTATGAATATATATTTTTGAATTTGATCGTCGATTAAACTCTTTCCCTAGTCAATCAAGCCGCTTAAATTGAAACATTCTTTTTGATAAGACGATTTTTCGAATCTTAATTGAACAAGAATCGAATTCTAAGCCTTCAAATATGGGGATTTGGCTTAAAATCGGATTCCTTTTAAAATTTGATTAGTTTTGAGTGATAATGGTAGATCTAACCAATCAACTAACTCTTCCTCTAACCGCTTAAATTGCTTAAGTTGAAACATTATTTTTTTGGTAAAACCATTGCACTAATGATAATAAAACATAAGATTTTTGCAAAAATTCAATAAAAACAATCTAGTCAATACAGAAATTTGATAAAATGCTTTGTTTTGAATATTTAGACCAGTTGGAAAATAGATGTTTCAAAAAATTCAAACATTTGACCTAGCAATTGAATTTAATCATAGCATCATCAAATTAGATCAACTAATAAATAATTCCATTATTTTACTACTTTGTTTGCTAAAGAAACTATAGAAATAGTGAAAAAAACTGAATGAATTTGAAATTTTAAAAAAAGATAGAAATTTCCAGTTCAAAAATGAATTTGAAAACTAGATGTTTCAAAGAAGTCCATATTTTGGAAAGTAATCGATTCGTAATTCATTTCCCTTTATTCATTTCATTCATCTTTTTATAGCCACCGAAAATTAAACTATAAAGGAACCTTTAAGGAACTAAATAGGAACTATAAAGGGACCTTAAAGGAACTAAATAGGAACTATAAAAGAACTATACATAAATAAGATTTCAAGCATTCTCATTCGCAAGAAAGCAAATTAACATTCACATCCAAATCTCCATTCGGCAGTTGGGTTTATTTTTGATTTTCTATTCTAATGTTCAAACTAGCAACAGAAGAAAAAGAAGGCATTGCAATTTTTCAACTACTCCACAAAACAATTGCTCACTTGACCATGTAATGATGTTATGAAAAGGCTCAGACTAAGGCTAATGGGATTTCTATAGTTTCTTTAGCAAACAAAGTAGGAAAATATTGGAATTATTTATTAGTTATTTATTTATTATTCGATCAAATTAAAATCGCAATTAAATTCAATTCCTAGGTAAAATGGTTAAATTCTTTGAAACATCTAATTTCCAACTTATTCAAAATATTCAAAATATTCAAAACAAAGCGTTTTATCAAATTTCTGTATCGGCTAGATTGTTTTTATTGAATTTTCACAAAAATCTTATGTTTTATTATCATTAGTGCAATGGTTTTTGCAATGTGAATGTTGATTTGCTTTCTTGCAAATGAGAATGCTTGAAATGTTAAATTTTCGGTGGCTATAAAAAGATAGTACCCGGGAAATGAATTACGAATCGATTGTTTTCCAAAATATGCACTTCTTTGAAACATCTAGTTTTCAAATTCATTTTTGAACTAGAAATTTCAATCTTTTTTTTTAAAAATCAAATTTATTCAGTTTTTTTCACTATTTCTATAGTTTCTTTAGCAAACAAAGTAGTAAAATAATGGAATTATTTATTAGTTGATCTAATTTAAATCAAGCTACGATTAAATTCAATGGCTAGGTAAAATGGTTAAATTTTTTGAAACATCTAATTTCCAACTTAGCAAAATATTCAAAACAAAGCGTTTTATCAAATTTCTGTATCGGCTAGATTGTTTTTATTGATTTATATTTATTGATTAATGTAAATTTTGAGTGATTATAAAAGGATTGAGGCTTGTAAATAATTATGTCATTTTTTTCAAATTCAAATCTTGAATCTGTATAACAGAATGGTATCGTTTTGAGAGCTTTCCCCAGGCACTAATTCTTAAAATACTGAACAAAATCTAATTTTCTTTTTGGCCTACTTTGTGCACAAGTATCGGGACATCCGAAAAATCCGGCTCCCTTCGCGACACTCTTTCCATCAGGACAACAACCGAATTGAGCGAATTGACACCCGCAACCCTCATTGTGATGACCTTTAGCCGTTGTGAGTCCGTCCGGACAACAACCGTATCTGAAATTGAGATAAAGTTGGAAAATTTTGTATCTTTATAGTATTTTTATAGTATATCTTTATATCTTTCAAGTAAAATCCTTTAAAAAAGAAAATTCTTAAGAAAAAATTACAATGTTTCAAAAAAATGGTGCTTTTGTTGGTTAACTTCCGGGTAATTCAGCTAATTTTGCTTTCTCTTTCCTATTTTACAATTTATGGCCAATAACAACTTAAAACTCTCGGAAAAACTAAAGTTGAGACCATGGTACTTTCAGATTAAAAATCTGAATGAATTTTGTTGAAAACGGACTTTGTAGTGAGGCAATTCTCTCCGCATCCTGTTCCATTTTTGCCCAAAGCCGCCGTTTCTCCGTCGGGACAACAACCAAATGGTGACAATTCGCATGGGAATGAGGATCTGGAATTAGTAGAATTGTAATCAGAACAAAAAAAAATTGTTCTGTTTCTTAAAATCATTCGAAATCTGTGAGTTTAGTTGTTTAAAAATGTTATTTTTCGATAAATTGCACTTTGAGTAAAAGAGGGAGCTTCAATTCAAAAAGGAAAGACATACTTCTGAATGCAAAAGTTTTTCTGATTACAAAATAGAGGAAAAATAATGGTTTAATACCACTTTTTTAGCTTTTTTGTAACCCTTTTAAAGCTTTAGTTTGTTTTAGATCGTTTCAATTTGACCATTTTCACTTTTTTTGAGTTTTTTCAATTTTTGATCGCGAAAATCTTGGAAATGGATGGACAATCGTTTTTAATTTTGGTCAAATCAGTCAAATTTTCTCTAATTTCTGAAAAACATAATGTTAGCTTTGTAAAATCAATTACTAATGCCTAAAAACTCGTTTTAACGAAAGTTGCAAACTAAAAATCGAATTCAAAACTAAAATGCAAAAATCTCGAGCTTCTTGAATTATTTCAAAAAACTATTTAGACAGTTTTGTAGAGTGAAATGTTTAAAAAATATAATTTCTTGGTCGGAAATTGATTGAGGATAGCCACGAGGAGCTCGGGCTGTTAGAATGAAAGTCGCGAAATCCATGTTTTGTACCTCTCACAACCGGCATAATGGGGTCCGAAAGCGATCGTTTTTCTGTCCTTGCAACAACCGTACAACGAAGCGGCACATGAGGCCTGAATATTTTTAAAATTTAAATCAGATTCTTTTTTAAAATCACAAAACGTTTAATGATTAAAGGAAAAAAAAAGACGCAGCCTATTGACGTTTGATTTTTGCGCTTTACTTCTAGAAATTTGAAACTCAATTTTTTTCAACAAGCATTCTACTTTGAAAATTTGTCAGAAAACTTTAAAACAAATGATAAGATTAGGATTTTACATTGATTTATGTTTTATTTAATTCCTATCACCTCTCCACATCCTTCGTAATTCGCCCCGCGAGCCAGTGTGACCTCATCGGGGCAACAGCCGAACGTCGTGTCATTGCACGCACCCAAAACGAATGATGGACAGCCCTGGAATTGGGAAAATCTTTATTTATGCTTTAGTTAACAAAGATTGTGTTCAATTTCTAATCTCTTAGCTTTCGACACAGCTCAGCCTCTTGGCTTTCGAAAATCGAAATAGCCAAGCATTTCTAAGGTCAGTCTATTTTGATCAATCAATTCTCAGGTTTCAAAGAAGTCAAAATCTTCTAGCAATCGATGCCTATGTTCCAAACTACGCAGAGGTTTAAAAAAAATCCAATTTCTAACAATCAATCTAACGGTAACGTCAAAGATTTAATTCTAAGCTTTGATTCCAAAGTTTTCTAGTGATCCGAAGCTTCAATTCAAAGCCTCACGAAAATAATCTTTGAATTGAATATCAATTTAGAGAATTTCAACATTTTCGAAGCTTACCTCATTGTTCTTTCCTTCAGCCGGTGTGTACCAATCAGGACAACATCCGAAATCAGTCTTCGAGCAGTGAAGAGTCGCGTTCTCGGCTTCGGTCGCATTTCCTGGAAATTAGGCTAATGTTACAAGGCTTTAAGATTCGATTTCTGAATTTGCATTCAATTTTTCACAATTTCAAATCACAAACCGAAAAGATCATCCCCAAGAAGTGTGGCATTTCCGGCTTTCGAGCAGTCGATCTCGGCTTTCTCTCCGTTCTCGTTCGTCACCGTGCATGTCTCGTTAATTGCTACCTAGAAAACTCTTAAGTAAAAGACTTATTTGCATTTCAAAGCTAACAAGGGAAAGGCCATAAGGCTGAGGTCACAAGGCGCAAAGTCTCGAAATGTGAGTAATGTGGGAAACAAGTTTGAAGTCAGATTAGAGATCAAGCATCAATCGCTATCTAAGGCTCCTTTCACGTTATAGTTCCTTTTTAGTTCCTTTATAGTTCCTATATAGTTCCTTTATGAGCTTTTGGTGTAGCGGAAATCTGAGCTTTTGGTGTAGTGGATAGAGTCTTGTTTCCGAAACAAGCTCTCAAGTTTTTGCTCGGGTTTGCTCCTTTCCTTTTGTTTTTTATATTTTGATTAATCGAATTCACTCTATTTAACTTTACAAAAGTAATCTGCTATCTTTCATTTCATTAATTCACTTTATAGTGCTACCACATGCGTTAATTTTTTGTTATTTTATTTGTTATCAATAAAAAGATATAGAAAGTTTGTTTGTAAGTAGAAAAGTTAAAAGAAAAGTTAAAAGAAAAGTCTCTGTTCCCACCTCATCGCCGACTCCCGATCCTTCAAGAACGGCCTCCATAATATTCTCAGCCACCTCGTCGATAATCGATGTCTCGTTGAATTCAGGGCATCCCTGAAAAATTAAATTCATAATCTTTAGTGAAATTGTGCGTAATATAATTTGTTTACTGATTTGAAGACATTGTTAAACCAGATCTAGATCTAGTTTCAGTGTCATCAAAGTTGAGACATGTACTATTGGATTGGTGTATTGAAAACTGCCGGCTACTGTCATATGTGACAGTTTGAGCACTTTCTTAAAAAGAAACCCCTTTTGGTATCAATGGAAAAGTTGTAGAGAATCAAAAATCAAGCTTATATCCAAATTTTCAGAACGATTCAAAAACTGGTTTTCAAGAAATGCCAAATTTACGAATTTTCACAAAACTTGCATTTTAAGCGAAACTACTAAGTGTATGTTTTTGGAAATTTGGCTATAAGCCTAATTTTTGATTCTCTACAACTTTTCGATTGACACCAAAATGGGTTTCTTTTGAAGAAAGTGCTCAAACTGGGACACTGGGACATCTCCAGTCCTCCATTTCTGAGTCTCACACTTGTCTCACACACAAACCAAAATCCTACTACGAAAAAGGAATCCGCAAATTGCCTGTAAAATGGGCAGAAGTCGTCAATAATAATGGAAATTATTTGGAATGAATTCATGGTTTTATGTTGAATAAATTTTAGTTCAAAGTTCCGCAGTTTTCAATTCACCAACCCAATAAATGAACTACAAAGCACAAACAGAATTGAAAGCCATATAAGTGCTTTCGATATTGATTATTTTGAAACAATGAAATTTTTATGCAACTTTTGATCACTAATATTTGTGTTTTGAAGCTTTGTGCGCTCTAGAGTGCTAAATTTTCTCCCCGAATTTCAAGTTTCATTTCGAATTTCCCTAAATCCCTTATTGTCTCCATCCTTTGACCCCTAGCGGTTGGCAACTTTTTTTGATGGGAACTGACACTAACTTTTTTGTCAAAGAAAGATCAATATCTGTTACATTTTTAATAAGATTTCCAGTAAAATCCATCCAGCCGTTTTCTACAAATTTCAAGTTATTCAGAGCGCCTCAAAATCCTTTATTTGAGGACTTTTGTTTAAAGCAAAATTCAGAAAAACGACTACACGGATTTGGTTGAAAATTTTATTGAAAATAGAGAAAATCTCTGTCTTTATTTTGCGTATAAAAGTAAAACGAATTCTTGTTGAAAAATTTGTCAAATAAGTACTCGATCTCATTTGGTTTAACAATAATTTTTAAAATAGTTAACAATGATTTTCGTAAAGTAGCTTTTTCCACTTTTTCGAAAAACTTATTTAGTTTACAACCTTATTTTATAAAGCTCAATAAATGAAATAGATATTTTCCTCAAATTCTTAAGTTTAGTGAGTTAAGAATGGGTTTTAACAAGTATATGATCTGGGACAATTCATGAATCAGGCTCAGGTTTTATATGTCCAAAGTTGAAACAAGCATTTATGCTCAAGGCAAAATAAAGTCGATTTTTGTTTAGTAAGAAGATCGTTGATCAGAAATTTAAAAAAAATTCAAAAAGGATTTTCTTCTACCTTGAAATTGGGTCCGGTTGCTTGGGTGTAATTATCGGCACAGCATCCGAATTCGGCGAGTGAACAATTCGAGCATCCTTGGTTGAATGGCCCCTCGGCGAATGTCGTGTTATCCGGGCAACAACCGAACTCCGAATCGCCGCAAGCTGAAGATTCTGTGATGCAAAAAATTCGGGAGTGGGACAAATGCGACCTTTGTCAAAAGGTCGCATTTGTCCCACTTGTCCCACTCGCATTTGTCCCACAAGGATACAAGGCTTAACTTTAGATTTATACCTTTAGATTTAGACCTTTATACACAAGTTAACAATTAATTAGTTAGTTAACAGTTAACAATTAAATTGGTTTTATTTTTAAAATTATCTATGCCTTTTCCCACTTGGACAAGGATCCTTGTTGCAATCTTGTTTCTCGGTTGGTTTCTCCAATTCATCGCACCATTCAGGGACGGGTTTCTTGTCGTAGTTGAGGCAAACGGTGAATCGGTCTTGATTTCCGCCACCACATCTGAAAATCATTTGTAGTCAGGCAAAAAATAAGAATCTCGTTAAACGTTAAACGTTAAACTTAAAATTTCGTTAAACAAAAGCTTTTTAGCTGTTTTTTAGCCTTTTTTCTTAGCTTGTTTTCCATTTTGAGAAATCATGTTTCAAATTGGTTTGGATAAAAGTCGAGATTGAAATTTTAATTCTTGCATCGTAATAAACTATAATTTGTGATAGTTTAAAAGATTTTCAGCGATTTGAAGCATTGAAGAGGTTTATAAACTTTTCTTAGGGATTAATCGCTCTACAATTCTCTTGAGAGCCATTTCTAAAAATACCGACTGGGGCTACCAGTGGTGAATTTATCGCATACACGAAATATATCAATCACAATACAACGACACACACAATACTAGGCTATATCTTAACTTAACCCACGTCATGACAGACGGCTCCCTAACCCTAAGCTCAATGGGGAACTAAATAGCTTTTTTGGTGGTGAAGGGAAGATGACGATGAAGGAGTGGCTTGTCACTTTAAAGAACTGGGGCTACAACCACCAGACTGCCCTCCAGAAAACCTCTCAACCCGAAGGGAAAGGAAATCCGAAGGGGGTGACCATGTCGCATGTGGGGTTCGAACCCTCGACCTTCCGATTAAGATAAAAGACACTTAACCAGTCAGCCACACGTGCTTCAGTCAGCCACACGTGCTTCAATTTCGCAGAGAAAATCAGGCGTACTGATCGTTCAACCATGTCTGAATCGATTCAGACATGGTTGATTCTAAATTTTTTTTCTGATTCTAAGATTCTAAATCTTAGTTAACTGGACCGGGAAGACTTGGGCTCAATTTACGACAATGGAGCAGCTCGATACGTCTTCTATATTAAAAATTTCACAACTTATTGGCAAGCAATAAGTGTCTTTGTTATTGAAAATTTCCTCTAACCAATAATATTTTGAATCTAAAGTATAAATAAGTGTGGTAGTAACGACAGAGCGGCGCACAATTATGGAAACTTCGTTTTTCGACTGTAAATCAACGCCCAATCACTCAATTCCCCTAATTTCATATTTCTATGAAAATTTCAACTTTATTTCTGCGCTCAATTTCAATTTTTTTAGTTCAGAAACACAATGTTACGCTTTTTTTTTATCGTATTTTGAAGTTCAGAAGTTCAGAAGTGCCAACTTCTCGGCAGAAACATCGCTTTCGATAGTTTTCAATCAAGAATTGCCCATATATCAATTAATTCTTTTAGTTTTTTTCCACTTCTCAGTAAATTTAGACAAATATTATAAAATAAATGCATAAACTTTGCAAGACAACAAAACAGGAATGTTTGGGAGTTCCCCCTACAGATCGTTGCTCTGCTAAGCTTTCAGCGGACTATTAGCTCTCAAAATTTTGAAATTATTGAAAATCTTTTGATGTAAAATCGTCCAGATAATTCTATTTCTTAATAAAAAGCAAAAATGAGTAAATATGAAGCAGGGAATTCTTTCAAAATGTCTGCAAATCCTGTCAAACAACGACTCTGCTGAGAGGTTGGCGCTTTTAAACTTCGAAGTACTATAAAAAAAGCGTAACACTGTGTTTCTGAAGTTAAAGTTGAAATTGAGCGAAGAAATAAAGTTGAAATTTCATGTAAATATAAAATTAGGGGATTTGAGTGATTGGGAGCTGATTTACAGTCGAATAATTGCATTTTTTTGGTTTTGGTTTCCTTTGGTTTGCTTGCTTTTTGCACAAAATTCTTTTAAGATCAGCTAAAGTTTGTGATTGATTCGAAATTGAATTGATTGATTGAATTGATTGATTGATTTGAATTGATTGATTGAAGCGAAAAACGAACTCTTCCGTGCACTTGGACCACGGTCCAGTGTACCATGTGCCCGTGCATTTCTCCTCATTCGTGCAATTGTTTTTCGTTTCCGGTTTCTCTCCTTGGCAAAGACCCTCATCGACAACCTGAAAATCTTTGTTTTTAAGCTAAATCAAACAAAAATTCTTCCCAAAAAGCCGATCTTCAATATAAAAAAGGGTTTTATTTTGGCTTCTTTCGCAATCTCATCGCAATCACAATCGCAATCAGAAATTTTAATTGAGAAAACCCACCGACAATCCGCCCAATTGATGAATGGCACAGAAAACTTTGCGCGTTTTGTGTCCATGTCCACACTCGGTTGAGCATTTCGACCACTCGGACGTGGTCCACTCGTAGATGCACGGCTGCTGGGTGGCACAAGTGCTGAAACAGATGATGATGTTATGTTTGTTTATGTAAAATTTTCATGGTTTTTTTTTTGATTCTTGAAAACAAACCGTGTATCGATCGGGATCTCGGTGGTGTTATCGGTCAAGCATTTCTCCAGCGGATACGCTCGTCCCATTTGGTCTTTACACGAGACATTTCTCGTCTCCTCGGTGTCATTGCATTTCTCGCACTGAAAATCTTTGAGTTTCAACCTCACATAATACAAGGGCATGTCCATTTATTCCTTCAACTCCTCTCCATAATCGATTGCCCAAAAAAAATCGATTTAAGATCCGCACATGAAATTCTTTGAAAATGGTTTTATAAATTTTCCTGTCGACCCGAGATTATCCATTTTTATGCTCAGATCTTTCTACAGAGGATCAAATGATCGGTCAGAGGATCAAATGATCGGTCAGAGGATCAAATGATCGGTCAAACGTCAAGATTTCGAGGGATCAAGAGGGTGGGCTTCTTATTGGGTTGGCAAAGAAGTCTTTTCGCGATTTTTCAGCATCTCTAAACTCAACCATCAGATCTTTTATAGCTCTTATAAGCTCTTTTATAGCTCGTATAAGCTCTTTTATAACTCTTTTCTAAAAACAAGAACTTATGTAATAATCAGCTTTTAAATAAAGGTTAGAAAAATCAATTTCAAGTTCAATTTCTATTTCAAAAACTGGAGTAGAAAAATCTATTTCAAGGAAAGTCAAGGAAAGCCAAACTTTGTGAGTATTTTCACTGGAAATTTGCCCTTTTCAAATTTGCAGAATCTTTCATTGAACTTCAACACCATTTTTAACAATTGTAGCTTGACAAAATTGTTTAATTGGAGTGTTTAACGGCTTGATTATTGAGCAGGGAGCAGGGAAAAAGAAATCAGCAAAATCGATTTGACGATTTGTGAGTATTTTCAATCAAAAAAACTGTTTTCAAAAGAAATAAAAGGCTTTTAGACTTGAAAGTTTTTGCAAAATACAGTAAGCACAAAAGTTCACTTGAAATTTTCAAGAAAATACATGGTGTTTTGAAAAATTCCTAGTCAAAAGAACATCCAAATTTGACTCCGTATTGATTATTCTTTTCTCTTTCATTGCTCAATCATTTCTTCCATCAACACTCTCCAAAATAAAAAGTTATGCCACTGTTTTTAGCTTAAGATATTGATCTTTAATTTTAACCATACAAAAGTTTGGTAGATGCTTGGGCTGAAAAAAATTGGGTGAAGCGAAAAGACTATCTTGTCAACCTAATATTTTCGCACTCTTCTAGGCTTTTTTCGAGATACGCCGTCGTGAAAATCTTTGGCAGTTTCAAGATCTTTGCATTTCCAATCAATTTCCAATCAATTACCAATTTCCAATCACTTGTGTAGAATTTGAGTCCTTCGCACGGTCCAAGATTGCACGATCTTTGTGATTCGATCGTTTCATCATCGCTGCACGAATTGGCGGCCAACAGTTTCCCTTCTTCGCCCGACTGGAAATTTGCCCTTTTTATTGAATTGATTGAACTTCTACACCATTTTTAACAATTCTAGCTTGACAAATGTTTAATTGGAGTGTTTAACTGCTTGATTATTGAGGAGGGAGCCGGGTTGAGTAAGAAATCGGTAAAATCGATTTTACGGTTTTAAAACTTTTAAAGCTTTAAAGCTAAACCTATGATTAACCAACGTTTAGCATAAATCTCTCTTTTTTTCACCTTTTCCGATCGACAAGTGACCGATCTGTATTGGAAAGCATCTCCACATTTCTCTGAACAAGCCGACCATGGCCCCGCATGCCATTCCGGGCAGTTGAAGCTGAAAACAGTAAATTGTACCTAGGCTTTTAAAAGTGCAATTATTTTCTAGCTTTCTGTTTGATTTTAAAGCAATTAACGATTTAAAGCAATCATCATCAAAATCAAACAATTCCATTAGTAACCAATGAACTTCAATACCATTTTTAACAATTGTAGCTTGACAAATTTTTAATGCCTTTATCTTAATGACAAATGCCTTTATCTTAAAAATTTTGAAACCTTTTTAGCCTATTAATAGAGGGGATTTGTAAAATTATTTAGCAAAAAAGCTTATAGTAACTTTTCAAAAGCAATTTCAGAATTATTGGGTTGCTGAATTGAAAACTGCCGGCTACTGTCATATGTGACAGTTTGAGCACTTTCTTAAAAAGAAACCCCTTTTGGTATCAATGGAAAAGTTGTAGAGAATCAAAAATCAAGCTTATATCCAAATTTTCAGAACGATTCAAAAACTGGTTTTCAAGAAATGCCAAATTTACGAATTTTCACAAAACTTGCATTTTAAGCGAAACTACTAAGTGTATCTTTTTGGAAATTTGGCTATAAGCCTAATTTTTGATTCTCTACAACTTTTCGATTGACACCAAAATGGGTTTCTTTTGAAGAAAGTGCTCAAACTGGGACACTGGGACATCTCCAGTCCTCCATTTTTGAGTCTCACACACAAACCAAAATCCTACTACGAAAAAGGAATCCGCAAATTGCCTGTAAAACGGGCAGAAGTCGTCAATAATAATGGAAATTATTTGGAATGAATTCATGGTTTTATGTTGAATAAATTTTAGTTCAAAGTTTCGCAGTTTTCAATTCACCAACCCAATAAATGAACTACAAAGCACAAACAGAATTGAAAGCCATATAAAAGTGCTTTCGATATTGATTATTTTGAAACAATAGAAATTTTCTTTTGATCACTAACAACTTTTGTTCACTAGATTTGTGTTTTGAAGCTTTGTACGTTCTAGAATCCTAAATTTTCTTCCCGAATTTTGAAGTTTCATTTCGAATCTCCCTAAATCCCTTATTGTCTCCATCCTTTGACCCCTAGCTTGACCTTTTCATTTATTATCAGAAGAGATGGGTCTCTTTCCTTTCTCTTTTTCCCTTTTTCCCCATTCTTGACCTAAGATACTTTACACATGGCAATCGAGAATGGACAGCCGCTCGATTTGAGAAAAAGAAAAGAAACAAAAAAAGTGACAAAACCGGGAGCAACATTTGGGGAATTGTTGAGGGGAAATTGACAAGAAGAACACAAATTTTGACTCTATTTTGAGCGGCAATCCATCAAAATTGAGAGGATTTCAAGTCAAAATGAGGTGACATTTTGATGGGAGAATGATTGGAATAACAAGGAATTTGGAGCTTTGAGATTTTGAAACCTAAAAGATAGGTTTCAAAATGTTGACTAAGCCGAGCATTTGATCAATTCTAGTGAACGTGAAGATCCACCGTTCGAATCGTTCTTTCAAATCGCTCAAAAAACGAGCTAATGTTTCAAGGTAGCTTTTATTTTTTTCTTTTCAAACAAATAGCTTTACCCAATAGCTTTACACACAGTACTTTATCGTTTAGCTTCACAGGACTTAGAATAAGGTAACTTAAAACGAGAATTTCTCTTAAAAAAAACCATGTTTCACTTTAAACAATATCGCTCATTGTTGTTGTTATGTTGTTCTTTTTTTTCTAGTCAATTCATCAAAAATTATTACGAATAACATTTTGCTATACTAATTACCATAGTGAATCAAATTATATTACAGTAAATTTGATACCCAAATGCGCAGAAACAAACGCACTGTTTGTCGACATGTGAGCATTTGTTTGAGAGTAAACTTCGACTACGCGACGCTCCTATAGGGGGCTTCTAATAGAGCAGGTTCTAGGGCTTCTAATAGAGTAGGTTCTAGGGCTTCTATTAGGTAAAAAGTCATCAAAATCTTTTTGTTTTACTCTGGCTTAGGCAAAAAAAATCTGAGCTTTCATTTAGAGCAGCCTACTTGTACTGATTACTGATAAAAAGTAATGTCAACAGCAAGGTGATCAGCTAAAAGATTCAAATGTTTGTTTGAGAGTAAACTATTATAAGTTATAAGTATTATAATTTTTACTGTATTGGTAGCTTTGCTGATAGATTTTACCCCTTCTTTTATAGCCTAAGTGCTTTTTTGTCTCATTTGAAATCCCCTATTCACTCACCGATTGCATTGCTGTCTGACGGGCGGTCTCTCGGCTGTGCAATTGTCATCATCCACAGTCATTCGCTTTCCATCAGCGAACACCTGCAATTCGTGCAATATTTTAGAAAGATTTGACTTGTCCTTTTAATAAGTGCTTTTTAAATATGTTTAAAAGGAAATGATTTTAGTAGCTTTTGAAAAATGAATCGAGCTTTCCATTGCTTGCTTTCCACGAGTCAAATTGATCAAATTATCAAATTATCAAACTATTAAACTATCAAACTATCAAATTATCAAGCTATCAAACTATCAAACTATCAAACTATTAAAGAATTCAAATTAAATTCATTGAAATTAAAGTTTTTACTTGTTAATGTTTAGATATAGATTTTTAAAAGCACTAACTTTTATCGTTTAAATTTAGAAATCAAATTTTGACAATCAAGCTCTATAAATTGACTGAAATCCCGCAAAAACACAGATTTCAAATGTAAAGCTGCAAAAGGAGAAGTCAAATTTTAAGCAACTCTTAGCTTTTCTTTCAGCATGAGGATTTCAGAGAGGATAAAGTGCTGTTCAATTGTTAAGTCTTTTGGTTTGTCTTTTGGTTTGAGATGAGTTCTTGTAAAGTTCAACTTTTTTCCCCATTCAGTCTCTATTTTGAAATCCTTCTCTTCCTTTCCCCTCAAATTGAAATCCTTCTCTTCGTTTCCCCTCAAATAGAGCTCTGATCTCGAAATTGAGCCCATTATTTAGCCAATTTTCTTATCCACTTTTCTTCCAAGATCACCCTCACTTTTTTTGCAAAATAATTAATGATGTCTCGCTTTTGAGCTGGCTTTTTACTTAGTTAAAGAAAAGAGATTGAGAGCCAGGATTTCGTTATCTTTTCAGAGAAAATGCTAAAGTGTAATGGTTATTGTTTGCAATGGGATGAATCAAGAAAGAAGATAAAAGTCGAAAAAAGTTATTTGAGATTAAGAGGAGGATCGTGCAATCGGACGTTAGATCTTTTGCATCTATCTTTTACAGTATTTTGAAACAAGCAATTGCTTCAACGCTGCTGTTGTAAGAAAATAATGTAAGAAATGAAAAAGAATTTTAGAAAGAAATTGAAAAATAGAAAAGTCGAGGCGACTTTTCTATTAGAATGTTTACGGGATGTCAAATTCAAAGTGATTAGAGAGAAATAGAATTGCATTAAAAACGACATCAGTAGATTGGAGTCGACTAGTTTGAAACCAGAAAAGTTATTGCTCAAATTGCTAAAGGGAAGTACTTGAGTTCTCGAAAAGGCATCGAAACCCATCGAAAACCTTTTGGCGGTAATCATAGCAGCAGAATCATTTTAAACGGCAAATGCGGTATCTCAATAAAGCCATTACTGTTAATTAGAATAAACTATTGTATGTTAAAGTCGAAAACTTTGAAACCAGCAGTCTCAAGCAAGATATAAAGATTCTCAATTCTCAATGAGGATTTCAGAGATTTCAGAGAGGCCTTTTAAAATGTTCTTTTGGTCTGCTAAATTTTAGTCTTAGTCTTTTGTCTTTTGGTTTGTCTGTCTGTTTGTCTTATTCTTTTGGTTTCATATGAACTCTTGTAAAGTTACTCAATTAACACTTTCGACAAGGCCGACATGGCCGTTTTTTAGATGATCTGGGTCCTTTCTCGAAATTGATCAATAACTTGCAACAAAAATCCTTTTTTTGAAAAACTAACGCTCTTTAGTATCTTGCTAGCTATCGATTGCAATAAAGATCTCAAGAAACGATCCACTGTAGCTCAAAATATGATTGTTTTTGTCAAGTTACTCCAGGTTCCCGGCGCTCACCACTGACCCTCGTTGCGAATGGGTTAAAGGTACTGTAAAGTCTCAGTCTGTTGGCTACAGTCTGTTTAAATGAAGAAATTCAACATTTAAACTCCATTGTTGATCTTTTCTAGGTCCCTTCCCTCTCATTGTTTTCACTTTTCCCAAAAGCAAATCTAAAGAAGCTAAGTTGTCCCGTTTTTCTTTGCCAAACCGGAGAGATACCACACGCGTCTTTTTATGAGGAGCGGCTGTCCCATTCTCGGCTCACTCAAAAGTATTTACGGGGAAAAGAAAGGAAAAGAGGCAAAAAGGTGAAGAGATGACCCCAAACTGGACACGAGAAAACACTAAACAAGATGGGGGATGAGGCTGAGACATAAATTTTGCCTCGCTTCAGCCATCCCCTTGCACCTCTCGACACAAATTTTGTGTCAGAGTTTAGTGACAATGGAATGGGAAAAGAAGATGAGATTAGAATAAAGAAACAAAAAATATGTCATTTTTTAGCTACAAGTTTCAAATTAAACAATTTCAACAGAAAAATCTAGCTTTAATCATTTCCTGCAAATGGATACTGCGGGCTTGAGGATTTTGAAAGCAAAAATGAGCTTGTTCCTTTTCCAAAACAATTTATATTTTAAAATTCTTAGATCTTAACATTAAATCTTAATTAAAACGTTTTAATCGTTAAAAAAATAAAATATTTCTTGAAAAATTAAAACAGCAAAACACCTTGCTTAATCAGTAATTTTGAAACTTGCAATTTTTAAACTCAAAGCATTTTATCGTTCTATTTACCAAATTGGGACTTAAAAGCTAAAAATGAACTTTTGATATTGATATATTGAAAACTTTTAGAATCTGAATGATATTTAGTCATATTCCCATTCATTTTCTATTTTCTAAATGATTTTCCAAACCTTGTGACAATAAACGACTCGATATTGTTCTCCTTTGTCTCCACAAGTCGCCGAGCAATCCTCCCAGTCTCCTTGGTACCATTCCGCCTCACAATCAACCGTTTTGCATTTCTGTAAATGTTTAGAAACTGTTTTAGTACTTTTTGTTTGTAAATTGTAAACTGCTTGGAAATTTTAGTGCTAATTAGTCTAAAAGAAAAAACAAAGTTTCAAATTGTGTCGTGTTCTTTGAAAATAGCTCGGGCTAATGTGTATTTTGTTTGAAAGTACAATCATTCTTGAAACAGATTTGAAAGTTCTTTTAGTTATAATTTTGCAAGAAAGTATAGTTAGCCTAAAATTCTTTTACATTTTCTGAAAATAACTGGCAATTAAAATAAATGGCAATTTGAAAAGCTGGGATTAAATTGGGAAATCGAGTTTCGACTTAACGTTTAATTGAAAATTCGTTCAAAGTTTTGAATTTTAATTAAAACTTACATTTAGCTTTCTTTTTAATCTTTAATCTTTTAATCTTTTAATCTTTTAATCTTTTTAACCTTATAACAATTCTAGATTGTTTTTAAAAAAAGAATTCGAATTGCTTGGTTGGAAATCTCCGATTGGAAAAAGTTAGTTTCAACTTTAGCGGGTTTTGTTGGAAAAAGTTGACCCTATTATATTACGACAAGTTTTTTTTTAAAAGTAGATTCTAGAAAGCCATTTTAAATTCAAATTCAAATGCTAGATATTCAAAACCTAGTTACTTTCTCAGAAATTCTAGATATTCAAATCAAAAACTCTTGAGGATTTGGAAAAAAGCACTTTCTAGGCTTCTCCAAAAGCATGAGTTTCAATAAAAGTCGAGTCTATTTAAGAAATTTTAAATTAGTCTCAAGAATGAAACCGTTGGTGACATTGGTGTCGAGTTTATTAAATCTTAACCTTAATTAATCTAGGTATGAGATTAACATTCTATATCATAATTAAATCTCCATTCTGCCCACCTTCTCAGTCTCGGGCTTCGTGGCATTTTGCTCTTCGCAGAGATCATCACTCACTCTCGATCCTTTCTTCACATCTTGACAATACGGCTCACGAGTTTGCAATCCTGAAAATATTCAGATAGCTGGCTTTTAGTTAACATGTTTTTAAAAGTTTCTTTCTATTAACAATTTTAATTGTAATTGTAAGCCTATTCATTAAAATATTAAGTCTATTAAAGGCAAAACTATTAAGTCTATTTATTAAGTGGAATTTTTCTTTATCTATTCCTATCAGAAGATCCTGAAAGAAGAAATGAATCCAAGTGACTTTAATCTTGACTAGAACTCTAGACAATTAAGCTTATTGAAAGTTTGATCTTTATAAAAATGTCTAATAAAATGCAAAAGTCTCCTTTTTAGCTGGTTGGATACAGTAAAAATGATTATGTTTCAAAGCTGATGGGGTTGGTTTGATTCTCGGAACGTTAATAATAATAATTCGGTGAAAGTAGCCATCAAGACAAATTCTCCTGTTTTTGTGCTCTCCTAGACTTTTACTGTTAAATACTTCTAGATAAAAGCCTTGGCTACAGTAATCTTCTAGCTACCGTACCCTTCAATCCACAAAATTCACCTCTTTCAGTGGTCCAGCGGCAAACAATTTCTCCTTTTTCGAGTCATTAAAATATTAAGTCTATTAAAGTTAAAACTATTAAGTCTATTTATTAAGTGGAATTTGAATCTATCTATTCCTATCAGAAGATCCTAAAATGGATTTTTTAAGCTTTAAGCTTTAAGCAGAAGATTCTCTGCCTGTTTAAGCTTAAAGAAAATTGAGTTTTTAAAAAAATTTTTAAACAAATACAGTGTAAATCAATCGTATTTCCACCCATTTTGAAACTTCCAAATTTCTCAAGTTTTGCGCGCTTCCTCAATAATCTACTTTTCTCAAAACAATGGGAAAAGCTTGAGAGTATTTTTAAAAGCAAAAAAGAGTCACATCTCTAATTGTCATCATATAGCTTTTGTACTTGAATTCTCGAACTCACCCAGTCCACAAGTCACTGAGCAGTGATTCCATTCACCGACTTTCCACATGTAATCCACCTCTTCCAATGGCACTGAGAACTCGTATTTGATTGCTGAATCCTTGCTGCCGGCACGGAACAAAAGAGAGACGGTAATCTCCTAGAAATATCAATGTTTCAAAGTTTACAGGCTGAAATGAATCTAAGTGATTTTAATGTTGATTAGAGGTTGACTAGAGATTAAGCTTATTGAAAGCTTGATCTTTATAAAAATGTCTAATAAAATGCAAAAGTCTTCTTTTTAGCTTGTTAGGTACAGTAAAAATGATTATGTTTCAAAGTTGATGGGGTTGGTTTGATTCTCGGAACGTTAATAATCAAGACATTGGTAAAAGTAGCCATCAAGACAAATTCTCTTATTTTTGTGCTCTCCTAGACTTTTACGGTTAAATTAGTTCTAGATAATAGCCTTGGCTACAGTAATCTTCTAGTTACCGTACCCTTCAATCCCCAAAACTCACCTCTTTCAGTGGTCCAGTGGCAAACAATTTCTCCTTTTTCGAGTCATTAAAATATTAAGTCTATTAAAGTTAAAACTATTAAGTCTATTTATTAAATGGAAGTTTAATCTATCTATTCCAATCAGAAGATCCTAAAAGAAGAAATGAATCCAAGTGATTTTACTCTTGACCAGAGCTCTAGTCAAGCTTATTGAATTAAGCTTATTGAAAGTTTGCTCTTTATAAAAATGTCTAATAAAATGCAAAAACTTCCTTTTTAGCTTGTTGGGTACAGTAAAAATGATTATGTGTCAAAGTTGATGGGGTTGGTTTGATTCTCGGAACGTTAATAATCAAGACATTGGTAAAAGTAGCCATCAAGACAAATTCTCTTATTTTTGTGCTCTCCTAGACTTTTACCGTTAAAAATACTTCTAGATAATAGCCTTAGCTACAGTAATCTTCTAGCTACCGTACCCTTCAATCCCCAAAACTCACCTCTTTCAGTGGTCCAGTGGCAAACAATTTCTCCTTTTTCGAGTCATCATACTCGAAGACTGTTCCCGCAGCCTCAACATCTTTCTCCACGGACAACATCGCTTTTCCGTTGAGGAAGAAATGGTCAGAGTTGTTTTTCAGGGCTGAAAATGAGCTTTCGAACAAGTTTCTAACAAAATTTCGACTCTTTTTCTAATCTTTAGTCCACAAACTATTCTCCCAACTCACCCAAATTGTTGGGTGTATCTCTCATCTCCTCGATTTTGATATTCGTCGCTCCCACCGGCAATTTGATTATATCATGATAGCCAGGGCTGAAATTTTTATTGATATTGCTAAAAACAAAACAAAACTATTCAATTAAAAGTTAGAAAGAGTGAAAATGTGAAAGCAATCAACTCTCACCAGCCACTGGCATTTGTCTTAAAGAATTTAAGGCGCTACCTTTGAAACACAGTTTTTCTTGACAAACAGAAACGAGGTTATACAGCCTTATTGAATGTGAAAGATCAAAAATATTGATAATGTTATTACGGTTATTGTTTAAATGCTTTTTCTTGCTTTTTATTTGCCCAATTTTGAAACACATAATTGAAATAGTTGAATTGATTGAAATTGAAACACATTTCTTGCAAAACCTGAGATTTCTGTCATCAAAATAACCCTCAATCGTTTTACACGTCGATCCATCCCCGTCACAAACACCACATTTATCAGCTTTCTTTGCTGAAATTTGGCTTTAATATTTGTCTAATATTTCCACGAGTTAAAAAATAACTATTTAGCTTGTTAAAATTCGTTTTTCTACGGCTACAGCAACTAGTTGCACGGTTTTTAATTAATACTCAAGCATTTTGAAACTTAACTTTTTTTGCGATCAATATTGTCTTTTACTCTTTACCAATTCCTTCACTTCTTTATTATTTCTTTAGCTTCACATTTGAATTAAATAAACTGATGAAATGGATCAAAATTCCGTACTTTAAAGCTCAAGAAAAGAGGCGAACGTTAAGGAAACGCCGAACGATTGTTTGTCGAAAATTCTCTATCGATTTTTAAGGCTTAATATTGATTTTTATAAGATGAAACGCTATTTTTTAGCTGGTTTATTTTTATTATTTACTTCTACTTATTATTTACAGATGATTTCTTCTTGTTCACCCACCAGATCCAAGCTTTCCATCACATCCCAATGGGAGACAGATTCCGTCAACGCAAATATCGTCACTCTTCGAGTCGCACTTCGTTCCGTCAACGACCTGAGTGTCTTTGTTATACAGGATGTTCAATATTTATGGGGTCTTTTAAGCTCTCAGGTTTGTAGCGCTCTCGAAATTTGATTTATGAAAAAAAAAATTGTCAAGAAAGTACTGCGTTGGAAGAAGCTCGATTTATCGGCATCACCGGCATTAAATAACGCTAAAACTACCGTAACCGACTCGAAATTGCAAAGAAGTACGGTAATTGATTGCAAGTTATCAGTTACTGTAGGCTCACCAAACACTAAGAGACAATGAAACTACAGTAAGACGGAAATTAGATGGCAGAAATTACTGTAGAACAGGGAAATGACACTAGGGATACTGTGATTGCGAAAGTAGACTACACGAAATTACAATAACGAAAGAAATAACAGTAATCTTTTGGATTGCTGCGGTAAAATCAACAAAATGACACTAAAATACAAAAACCTACAAGCATTGCCAAAAAGCGGTTTTCATAGAAACTCGAAGCTACCAAAACTACGCAAATTTTGCGATGACGATTACAATTCTTGAAGATTCCCATAAATATTGAACACCCTGTACTTTCCAATAAAACTTTTTGGGTACAACAGTTTGTTCAGATTTTCATTGAAAAAACTTGAAAGCTTTTGACTAGACTAGCTTTTGATTAAACTAGCTTTTGACTAGAACAGCTTTTGACTAGAACAACTTTTGACTAGACTAGTCTTTGACAAGGCTAGCCTTTGACAAGACTAGTCTTTGACAAGAGTAGCCTTTGACAAGAGTAGCCTTTGACAAGACTAGCCTTTGACTAGAGTAGCCTTTGACAAGACTAGCCTTTGACAAGACTAGCCTTTGACTAGACTAGCCTTTGACAAGAGCTTTTGATTAGACTTTGATTAGAGCTTTTGACTAAACTAGCTTTTGATTAGACTAGCTTTCTTCCTCCACTTTGAAACATGCACTTTTTTCCTCAGCTTTCTTAGAGCATTGATTCACTTTTTTTATTTTACTTAATTTTCAATAATTTTGCCAACCTTTTCAGCCCATTTGTAGTAGAAATTGCCGGTCTCCGGTTTGCACAACAATTCGCATTTGTTCTTTCCCTTGTATGGCAACCATTTATAATAATTCCCATCCAAAGCCTCGTCGTTGTATTTGGAGCATTGTGAGGCACGGAAATCCTAAAATTCATAGTAAATAAGTAGTTTCAATGAGCTTAAACTTTAAACGCTTAAATGAATTTTGAATTTTTCAAACTTTACCAGTTTAGTTTAGCTTTTTTTAACCAATAAATCTAATTTTAAACTTTAAAAACGTCTTTTTCTGACAATTCAGAGACTAAATACAAAAATAATTTAAAACGAGAAATTTCTGACTGCTTTTTCCCTATAATAAAGTTTAAGTTTGCTTTTCAATATAAACAATGTTTCAACAATGTTTTGTTAATTACTTCAATCAAATTTTATTTAATTTAAGAACAATTTCTCATTCGCAAAGCTCATTAAACAAAATTACTTAAAACAGCAAAAAAAAAATCTTTAGTTTCAAAATGCTTAACATTCAAAAGTATTTTCTTTATCCAGTGAGTGTGTAGAATTTTTTCATTTAAATAAAATTCATTTCTAAGCTGCTGAGATTTCTATATTTCTATATTACTATCCAGTTTTGAATTGAAATCAAAATCACAAAAATTTCCTCACCGTTGAATCCTCGGGACAGGCGTCGGTGTTGCACGAGATGTAGCGAGTCGATGGACCAGTGCACTCTCCGCTGAAATTCGTTTACTTTCAAAATGGTCTCAAAGTTGAAAATTGTACAATTTGATGGTATTTTGATGAGAAATTATTTTAAATAAAGAAAACTAAAAAAAGATTATTGAAAGAATACAGATTTCAACTTATTCAACAATTGAGAATAAATAAATAGGCAATATTTTTGATAAATAAATAGGCCTCCACCAAATCGTATAATTTTGTAGGTTCTAAAGTAGACATTTCCTACTTTACAACATTGTAAATTCCTTTTTGGCATTGCTTTTGTGTTTCCAGAGTATTTGTGTACTATTTCATTGAGTATTTGAGTTTCAACTTTCTCAAAATCACTTGAATTATAGGATTAGATTCGAAAAAACGTGTACGATTCGTAAAAACGAAAAAACGATTCGTAACGCAATTTTATAAAGTAATAAAGTACTTATCGCTCAAATCCGCCTATCATAATCGCAAGTATTTCCAGTTGACCTGCACTTTCTCTTCTCGATTTGGACTCCTCCACCGCATGTCCTTGAGCAAGTGTTCTCGGCTGTCCACGGTCCCCAATTTCCCGTTTCGGCTTTTCCCGATTTGTCCACCGTCACAGAAACGTCATCACCAGCGTAAACCTGTAATGAAAAGTCTTAGAACGAGTCCATCTGACGGCTAAGTCCTCTCGACTTCAATCCCGCCGGCAAGATTATTGGTTCCTTTTTCTCATATATATACTTTTTTTCTTCTCAACATTTAGGGCTTTGTACTTGTCTATTGTTTTTTTAGAGTTGTACTTGTCTATTGTACTTGTCTATTGTACTTGTTCTATTGTACTTGTACTTGTCTATTGTACTTGTCTATTGTTTTTTATCACATTATTCGTATGAATAAATCTTTTTTTCCTAAAGTCAAAGTAAAAAAGCTAGTTTCAGATGGCTTTTCAAAATGTTAATAGCTTTTGGGTTGATTTCTCAATTGAGATCATGTCAATTGAGATCATAAACAAAAGGATTTCAACTAAATCACTTTAAAATCTTGCTATTTGTCACCTAGAAATGATATCTTTTTCACATTCATTAATTTTTACATTCACTCACTTGATATGCTTGTCGTTTTGCTCGGAATATCGATGGATCCGACTCGGCTGGACTCAATGGATGAAGATAAGGGATTGCAGGCTGGAAATTCGAAATTTCAACCTTATTACCCGAAAATTAGTTGTTTATTCAAGTTTTATAAACTGTTTTTGCAAAAAAATTAGCAGTTTATTGCGGTTTTCGAGGTTTACAGCCAGTCAAAAGAGAAACTAGACTTTCGCGATTTTTTTTGGGTCAATGAAATTGTGCTTTAGATCGAAATGAACTCATTTTTCAATGATTATCTCGCTTTGGAAGGAAAGAGATTTTATTTTTCTGGACTTAAACAAGCTCTTTTTTTTGATACTTTCAAAAGCTCTCACTTGATTCGATGAGAAGAAACTCCAGGCATGGCAATGGACGGCAAGGAGCGTCCCGACCGCCACCCACACACGCATTCTCGGAATAATCACGAAGTGAATTTGATTCACGAGAATGAAACAAAAGGGTACCCTGAAAATTGGGGAATTGGTATAACGCTTAAGAAGATTTAAAGGTTTAAAGGTTTAAAGGTTTAAAAGGTTTAAAAAGGTTTAAAAAGTTGTTGTTGCAGTAGAACAAAAAAAAACTGAAATCAAAGCTTGAGATGTGTCTGAAGAAGACTTTTAGAGTTGTTTTTGGTAGCTAAAAAAGAAAATAAAAAAAACCACTAAAACCCCAAAATTCAAGTAAAAAGAATTATTTTAAATTTGTCTTCAATCTCTGTCATTACTGGCTGAATAGTCATGCTTAAATCAGCTAACTTTGAAACTAGCTTTTCTTCGAAAGCTCGAAATGTTCAAAAAGCTTCAAAAAAAATCCTACAGTAAGCAAAAACGCAACTTTAGTCGTTTTCTTTAGAGCTAGTTCAAAATTTGAGCTTTTTTCAGCTCGATAAAACCTTTACTGTGAAGCTTGAGTTTCAAAAAGAGTAAAATTAAGTGAAAACTGGAACTTTGAGCTGAAAGAAATACCATTTCTTGAGGAAAAATTCCAACAATTTTGTTCAACAATACCAACAAATCCAACAAAAAAATTCCAACAACAAACAACAAAAATCCAACAACAACAACAACAACAATTTTGTTAAGAGATTCATCAATGCAAGTTTTCTCTTGCCAACTTTTCTCTTGCTTCAAAGGTCACCAAAGTTCGATCAGTGTGACTCAATTTGACACCGATTGACCCAAAAGAATCTTTGAGAGGAAAAGAGAAATGATAAGATACGGTAGATGAAAGAGAATGGAAATTGGGGGGAGAAAAGTGGAAAAAAATGGGTAATGATTGAAAATTTTGCTGGATGGCGATTGATTTTTGATAAAACTATCAATATTGTATTGACTACTTGGCATTAAAGCTTGCTGACATTGAAAAATTTCATTTTTAAAACTGGTTTAAACTGGTGTGCATAGTTAAAATATCGAATGTTTAAAGTTGAATGGCTAAAATTATCGTGTAAGGATTAGGGGAGATTTTGATATAATAAAATTTGATCACAAAACTGTTTTTGCTAGACGATGCAAGAGTTTAGTTACTTTGAAACATGTCTTTTTAATCTGGTCAACTGAATTACGATTAGAAGTGTTGAAAGTCAGAAATCAAGGCTGAAGAAAGAAGATGATTTACAACAGTAAAACTTAGAATTTATGACTGATTTGTTAAGTCTTTACTTATCAAATCAGTCTTTGTCTTTACTTATCTTATACTTGATAATGTTGATAGGTAAAATAAGATACTACTTCTAAATGATAAGTCTCATACCGTAAATATTGTAATAGTACCCCACCGCCCTCGTACAGTCGCGTAGTCGCAAAAGTTTTTTCGTATTTCGTTTTTTTCAAAGCGCCCGTACTTTCAAAAAAATGCGTCTTTGGTATCAAAAAATAGCTGAAATTCAGGGCTATTTTTTGATACCTAAGCGAGCATTGTAGCATAAACCAGTGTAGAGAAAAACGCGTTCAAGCTAAACTACGCAACACTCCGCACCGTCATTATAGGGGTGGGGTACTATTACAGTATTTACGGTAGATTCTTACTATTCTTTACTAACATTGAAACATATCCTTTTAGCCTAAAGTATGTGCCTTTTGATTTTCTAAACGCTAAACGCTAAAAGGAATCTATTTTAGAAAACTATTGTACTTAAACAGCCAGTTAACGGCTTAAACAGGGTACTTAAACAGTCAGTTAACGGCTTAAAAAGGGTACTTAAACAGCCAGTTAACGGCTTAAACAGGCTACTTAAACAGCCAGTTTTTCATTTGATCAACCCAATTTTTGTATTTTTCGATAAGGAACTTCCGTGAATGATACCAAAATTGGACTTATTCAATGAAAACTGGCAAAGCAGATTATAGTAGTTTTATAAAAATAAGGATTTTAGAAAATGAATCAACCAAGAGACAATTTAAAATTAATAAATGAGTGAAAAGGATTTAAAGTAAACAACGCTGAGGACTGATTTGGAATTGATTTGAAAAGTTTCTTTTGCCTCAATGGCTAAAGACTTCAAAAGTTACTCCAACTCTTCCTTTAGATTGAAACATTTCATTTTAAACTAATCAAATGAAATTTTGAAATTCTTTCAATGAGCTCAAAGTTCTAATCATTTAAAACTAGACTTAAAGATCGATAGAATCTGATTATCTAAATTGTTTATAAATTTTTCACACAGACTAGAGAGAATTTATGGAATCGAATGAGAAAAAGCAAGCGATGCTGAAAAAGTTAAACAAATCAGTGAGCGATTAAATGTTTCGAAATAGTTGAAATCAAACAATCAATCAAACAAGCAAAGTTAATAGAAAGACACTTTTGATTGGAAATGAATTTTGAAGAGTTTAGAAAGAGTAGAAAGTTCTTGGCTTTTGAGTAACATTCATTTGGTTATAGTCCTATAATCTAGTGAGCAATTTTTAAATTTCGCGCCTCAGTACTGTTCAAGTAAAAGTATTTAAGGACTAAAAAGCGGTAGGGTATTCAAAAGTTCAACTTACAGTCGACACTTTCTATAACGGAAGCGACGAAAACAATTTTCCGTTTTATAGAGTGTATAGCTGAGCGTTGGCCTTTCTTCTATTCCATTCTGTTATAGAGAGTCTTCCGCTATATAGAGTTTCGTTATAGAGTCGATTATAGAGAGAGTCGACCGTAGTTTCAATCATTGTGAAACTATTAGCTGTGTGAATCTCAGTTACATTGAAACTAGGCAATTTTTTTCGATTCTTTGTCAAAACTTTGAAACAAACAGCAACTAAACATTAATTTTTTAATAAAACGAACAAACAAAAACTTTTTGAAAGTTAGAAAGTTTAAAAAAGTCTGCCAATTTTGGCTTTAAGCTTTACTTTTAAACTTAAACGATAGCCTAAACATATCGTTAAAAGTTTCAAGTTAAAACCTATCATGCTAGACATGCCTAAGCTAATGTAATAGCTTCCCGTTCAGCTTGATAAGCAAAAACATTCAACTAACTATGCTTTAACCAAAAGTCTTACAGTAGCTGATCTTTAAAAAGCGCACTATAAACTCTGTCTCTGTCTAATCCTTTAGTCAGCCCATCTTTTCCCCAAAATCAATCCCATACTATCTAAATTGTTTACAAAATTGAGGAGTGGATGGACAGACGATCGGGGAAAAAGATGGGAAAGATGGGGGAAGATCCGAATAGAAATAGAAAGAATGTTTATGTTTCGAGGAAATGGGAGAAAGGGACGGGCCAACAGTTTTCGTTGCCCCGTTTTGACCGAAAAGGAGAAGATCTCAGGGAGAAGCTGAAAGAAGAAAAGAGAAAAATGGCATTTGGCACAGGGCAACACCCAAGGCAGTGCCCTCCGATGTGGAAAAGATGTGCCACAAGTGAGGGGAGGGGAATCTGTCTGTCCAAGTGGGAGGGACAGCTAGGGAAATGGGGTCAAAAGGGGCAAAGAGACAAGATATCATAAGAAATGAGACTCTCTTTTAGTTGTTGATAAAAAAGACAGTGTTCTGGAATGAAGTGTATTCCTCTTAGCAACTTCGTTTTTTAAAACTCACCCTCTTTCTCTCGACTATCAGAATCTTGTCTCTATTTTCAGCTGCCTTTGATCAGATTCTGTGGATACTGAAAGAAAAAAGGATACGAGAGAAAAGATTACGGTAGCTTTAGAGTAGTTGATAGGTTTAGAAAACAAATTATATTTGAATAATTGAAATAACTGTCGATAAATGAATCACAAAAAAAACTGGTTACAATACAGGATGATCAAAAAGGTTTCTTTACAGAAGAAGCTCAATTTTTCAACTAAAACCCAGATCGAAATTCGACTCACTATATAGTATTTGTGAAGCTGAAATTCTGGCAAGCATTTCTATACCTAAATCATCCTGTTCAAAGCCACCTAGCTCTTCAAAGAAGCAGTGTAGTGCGCTGGAGGGAAACTCTCATGACGCTCCTGTTTCCAATTGAAAAACCCTTGAAAGCCTTTTTAAATACACACTTTTGTTTTAAAGTAACAGTTCAATTGTTACTTTAAAAGAATCAAATCTCTTGTCAAAATAAAAAACATAAATTAGTCTTCAAAAACATGCGAAACTGTGTGTTGTCTCATGGACAGTTTGGCTTGAATGTAGGCCTCTTGAAAAGGCTGAAAATTTCTGATTTACTTATAGAAATGTTCATCAGAATTTCAGCTTTAAAATATTATAAAACACGGGAAATTTTGTTTTAGTTTTCATTTAGAAAATGAATCATTTACAAGCGGGCCGGAACTTTTTGATCACTCTGTAGTTGGTCAGAACTGAAAGCAAAGAAAGTTGAAGCTCAAGTTTACCGCTTCAAATATAATAATTCTCGTTATAGTACACTTAGATCGAAAGCCTACCGTAACCAAACAGCCAACAGGATGAAAATCACGAATATGATTAAGTTTACAAGTTTACTTTACAAGCTTTACTTTAACTCCTAGATTGAAAAATCCATTCTCTTTTCAAGAGAATAGATGTTTCAAAATATTTAAGGTAAAACGCTTAATCTAGCTGCGAGTTTTTAGCCATAAATCACTTTTGAAATAAACTTATTTTAATTCACAAATTCTTTTTGATTTTGATTTGAATTTTGATCTATTTAAATCCATAAATTCTTTCCATAATTCAATGCACAAATTCTTGAATTTTTTGCCTTTTTCCTGCTAGATTACGTCTCAAGATAGGAGTTTAAACTGGCAAAATCGAGGAAAAGATTAGCAAAAGATAAAAGAGACGGGAATTTTCACCGATTTTGGCTTCAGAAGTACCGTAACCCCCGGTTTTCCTAGCTTTTCGTCCAACTACAATCCACCATAAAACATCTTGAACGAAGAACTGTAAATATCCTCTTTCTATACAGTTCTTTCTCCTTTTCCCTTTCTTCAAATCCATTCCCAATCGCCAGATGGGTGCC